GGTCCATCGGTATCAATACAAGGGCACAGGGTTCGTATACCTGTCCCACGGTCGTGAGAATGCTGAGTCAGTCATGACTCTGCGTGAGAGACAATCTGTCCATATGGGGAATAGGTCGTGCTGCAAAGACAAGGCAGCAGCGAGATCGTCGTGCGTCTAGCGCCTGTATCAGGGTCTAGGGTCATGCCCATAAGGTTCAGTATCTGTATCATAAAGGTAAGGCAAAGGTGAGGCAAACATGCCTTTGTCGTGTGTATGATAGGAAGTGCGTCCTAGGTCTGGATCTCGCACATGAGGTAAACATGCCTTGAGCACAAGGCACATATCATCAGATGATCAGGTAGATCCGTGCCGGATAGATAAGGGCGATGACCATGATGACATCATGGTCATGTGGTCAGTGACGTCATTGTCACATGGTCAGTCTAGGCTCTGTGATGTCATTGTCACGTGATCGGTAAAGGTAGAGGCGGAAGTCGTCCGCGTGTTCCTCAGAGAGGAGCTTTGTAACAAAAGGTAGACAATATTGAATTCTTCACATAACACTAAGTGATTACGATCAAAGCTAACCACAACTTCATATCTCGCATATAAAGTGTTGTACTTTATTACACATATCATGCAGAGAAATGGTAAGTTGTATGCTAAACTTCTCAAAGTGTTCACAGATCATTAGAATGGCTGTGTGTATCTTGCTAAACTTCAAGAAGTAATGCAAGGCTTCTAATTTAGAGCATACAACTGCTGTTGTAAGATTTAGTCACTCTTCCATATTATATATATATAAGATTATCACAGCCAGTTAGCATGCTAACTTGTGAGTGTATTTAGGATGATTAGATGTGGCTCACAACCAACTACGAAGTCATACAACACTGGCATTGAACAGTAATGCAACTGCTGCTCTAAGTTTTGAAAGGCTTAGATACTTCACTTTATAATAAATAGCAGATTGTCAGCATTGAATCTCAGTGCATCCACACTTTGCCAAAATGTACAAACATAGCCTGACATCAGCCAGAAGTCTATATAAAAGGACATCACAGTATATAGCTACTGCTACAACTTATAGTCAGTACTTCATATCATATAAAATTCATCAGTGTATGTGAAAAAAGAAGTATCAGGTTGCCAGTTACATTTTCGCTGTGGCTTACCATTTATAAGGAACTCACGAAATGCTGGCACCACTTGATATAACATTTACTTCAATTTTTAAATAGTGCTTTAAGTTATACAATCTTTACCACAGAACAAGTGCCAGATTGGTCATTTTTTTCCTGGTTAAGTCTAGCTATTATCAGGATATGAAGCTATGGCTCACCATTGATCAGGAACTCAGAAAGTGATGGCACTTCACATTATGAAATGTCTACTATAAATTCCAGATAGTGCTTCAAGTTTGACTAACATCACCAGAGAAGAAGAGCCAGGTTAGCGATGTGTTTATCGGTTGAGTCTAGCCATTATCAGGATATTAAGCTATGGCAATTCTCTACTACAAGTTTCAGACTGTCATCCAAGTTTAACAAACTTTGTCACAGAAGGAGAGCCAGATTGGCAACTTTTTGGCAAATTGAGTCTCACCATCACCAGAATGTAAAGCCATGGCTCACCATATACCCAGGAAGTCTAAAAATGGCAGCACTGCACTTTATATATCCTCTTCTACAAGTTTCAGACAGTGCTCTAAGTTTAACAAACTTCGCCAAAGAAGGAGAGCCAGGTTGGCGACTTTTTGGCAAATTGAGTCTCACCATCACCAGAATGTAAAGCCATGGTTCGCCATATATCAGGAACTCATAAAATGGTGGCACTGCACTATATACGACAGTTACAATAAGTTTCAGGCAGGACTCCATGTTGTAAAAACTCCACCAGAGATGTAGTGTCAGGTTAGTAATTAGGTATCTTGCTGAGTCCAGGCACTGCCAGCATTATGATGGTGAACTAATCACTGACTAATAACACCATGTCGGTGGGCCCACTGCTCATTCATTGTACATTGGCAGTAAGCCCATTGCTGAGAGAAACATGTCCTGGTGATTGCCTACCCCCTGGCCTGTGGCAGTAGGCCCATCTTTCATCTAATACTCTTGGAGATGGGCTCACTGCTCAGCTATTGTACTCTGGCTATGGGCCTACTGGTGGCAATAACATGCTCTGGTGATGGTCAACCCTCTGACCTTTGGTGGTGAGCCCATTCTTCATCTTACACTTGGGGCGATAGGCCCACTGCTTATTGATCATACTTTGGCGGTGGGCCCATTGCTTAGAGAAACATGCTGTGGTAATGGCCAACACTCTGACCTTTGGCAGTGGACCCATTCTTCATATTACACTCGTGGTGATAGGCCCACTGCTCATTGATTATACTTTGGCAGTGGGCCCATTGATGGTGATAACATGCTCTGGTGATGGCCAACCCTCTGACCTTTGACTACTGTGGCAGTGGGCCCATTACTGGGAGAAACATGCCCTGGTGATGGCCAACCCTCTGGCCTTTGGCAGTGGGCCGATTGCTGGTGGAAACATGTCCTGGTGATGACCTATGCCATGGGTGCTTGCAGTAAGATCCTGACTGAGGGTACTTTGGCGATGGGCCCATTGCTGGCGGTAACATGCTCTGGCAATGGCCAATCCTCTGACCTTTGGCAGTGGGCCCATCCTTCATGTTACACTCTTGACGATGGGCCCACTGCTCATTAATCATACTTTGGCAGTGGGCCCATTGATGGCGATAACATGCTCTGGCATCAGCCCACCCTCTGACCTGTGGCGGTGGGCCCACTGCTCAGAAGTACCCCTATGGTGGTGGGCCCATCACTCCAGCCTTCTCTTCATAGTCATTGGCTCATCGCTGACAGCTCTCTACACAAACCGATGGGCCGATGTCTGCTGGCAGTCCAGTTCATGATAATGTCAGGATAAATGGGAGTTCAGTTCAGGTAACATGACTGAAAGGTGTGACGCCAGAGCTTGCGAACGCTATGCATCTCTGATTCACTCATGGTTTCAGTGAAAGAGAAAGGCTGGAGGTCTTGTTGGAGGCGCTCGTTGTTTTGTGCATGAAGCTGGAGCTGGAAGCGGAGGTGATTGAAGTAGTAATCGATGGCGATGTGAGCTCTAGCGACCTGAGTAGTGAGATAGCTGCTGCCAGTCTAGAGTCCAGTGAGGCAGCATCATTGTCATTTAATAAAGATAATCTTTTCGACTAATAAGCAGTAATTTAAATAAGAATTGTGTCTAATAAGCAAAGATAATCCTTCAGATCATTCTGAGATAATTTGAAGAATCATTTGAAAATTATCCGAAGATAATCTGAAAATTATTCACAAAATATAACTGAAAATTGCCACCAGCCAGGATTGAACTCTCAACCTCATGATAAATCACATGATATGTTTTTCAACTCATGCTTCAGACCACTAAACCATTGAGCCTTTCAAGTAGTAAACCTTATATATAATATGTAACCTTCTTTTTTGAAAGTGACTTAGTCAAATTCTGACTTTCAAAAGACAGTAAGTGGAAAACTCTAAAGTTTTGTCAGCTTTGTCATCAAGTCTCCGAGCCCAACTAGGCTTGGCAGGAGGGAACACACCTTCAAAGTGCTCCTTGCACACTCCCTTGGTGGACTTGGAAGAGCACTCAGCAGGCATAACAAGAATGTCAGATTCAGTGTCAGAAATGCAAGCCATGGTTTCCGCAGTAAATGAGATAAAGTTTGACTGCGCAAGCTGAGTTTTATGGAAGGCTGAGACAATAGGCTTATCCCTTCCTCTGCGAATAGGAGACCCATCTGGCATTGTTAACTTGCCATTTATGTCACATTTTATTGTCCCTTTATTCAAAAGGTCAATAATCTCTGGACAATAATTCATGGAGTGCCCTTTCTTCCCGCAACCATAACAGGTCATTTCTCCACGAGACAATGGTCTATTGTCTGCCATTGTTGCAGGGGGTCCTCCTGAACGCACAATGGGTGATGAAGTGGATTCTCCCGGCCTCTTAGGACGTTGTACAATTTGTACAATATCCTTATCCAACTTGTATGCCCTGTAAAACAGAGTAGAGTAGTTAGGATCATCCAATGACAGTGTCTGAAGTTTCCTAATAATTGTTTCTACTTCATCAAATTCTTCCGCTGCTGTTTCCTCATCTTGTAATGCACGCAGGTGCACATGCACCTTATGGCCTGACTCCATCTTGCGCTTCTTCTTCCTCTTGATTTTTCCAGATTTATCTTCAGAGCTTGAGGTCTTCTTTGGCTGTTTCTTGGGACTCTTCTTGTATCTAGAAAATTCATCGTCACTATTTTCCGACTCAGCAGAATCTGAATCAGAGTCCGTACCATCCTCAGAATCAGATTGGTCTTGATCATGTTCAGAATCTGACTCAGATTCATCGGCATCAAATCTATCACAGCGAAACATGTCCTCCAAAGATTTTAACATGTTTGCCACAGTAAAGGGCTTTGTTAAATCATGGGCAGGGTTAATTCGCAGTACACATGATTCAATTCTTGGCCTAAGGGTCCTAGATAACCCTTTCCAAAATGCCTTGTTATAAGTGTCTTCATCTATCATATTCTTCTCCTTTAGCCATCCAGCAATACGCTGAAATCCACGATAGTAGGAACGTACTGTAGAAAGTGAGTGAATAGAGGAATGACGTGCTGACAAAAATCCTTAAGGTCAGTATGCTTGAACTGTCTTTCATTCCTTTCTGAATCATAAATCTTCAAAATTTCTGCCTTGAGATTATCCCAGTTAGGAGTCTTGTAGTCAGAGAGTGTTTCTATTACCTCTCGCACTGCTCGACTACAATACCGGCGAAATTTTTTACACTTTAATCCATTATCAGTTACCTGATTAAAGGACAGTAAGGCATCATAGTCTTCCAGAAAGTCCTTAACTTGGGATGACTGACCTTTAAAAGTCCTGGGAGCTTGTTTTCCTCCATGCACAGGCATATCATGAACTGAGCGAGTCTTAGACATGGTGGAAGAACTGGTTAATAGGGTGGTGGTGGAAACTGAAGTGGGGTTAGTGGACGAGGTGGTGGTGGATTGTATGACCGCTGTGGCTATGGGTGCTGACGATGATGGATTGGATGCTGTGGCCGCTGGTATCGCTGAGGTCGCTGTGGACGTGGTGGGTACTGGTGCTGATACTGAGGCTGAGGCTGATAAACTGACTGATAAGGGGTTACTGGAACTGGTAGAACCTGGATTGGAAATGGAGGAGGTGGGATTATTTGAGGAGTTACCAGACAGGGATGATATACTGGTACTTGATAATCCTGAGGTGGGTGTAGGTGATTGTGATGATGGCACATTGGGCAAGTGGAAATGGGAAAAGTAAAGGGGGTATTATGGGGATAGTATGTTACCTGATAAGCAAGGAAACTACCCCCCACGGTGGGCTCCAGTTTGACAGACAAGAATGGTGTCTTGGATAAAACACAAACCAAAACAAAATCCTCCTGAGGTCACCGGACTTGAACAAAGTCGGGAAATATTCCTCAGTGTATTCGTTGTAGTAATCGCTTGGTTACCTGGTAGTAATCAAGTGTGAGAGTGTGTGTGTGAGTAAGAGGGAAAGACTGTCTTATAATAAGACAGAGAGAATGACCGAGAAATAAGTGACCGAGTTGACAGATGACCGATTGACAGATGACCAAGTTATGACTTCCTTGATGCCTATAATGCTATGCCTGAATAACACTGTATTCAGGTAAGTATGAACTTGAGTATATACTGACTACTGGGGTGAGAAGAATGCTCTGTAACGTAAGAGCAATAATTATCCTCTGGAAGTCCAAGTGGACTTTCAGAGTTTATATACTAAAGAAGGTGGGAAAATCTAAATAATAGAAAAGCGCCTTCAATAGAAATAATAATAGAAAATGTGATAATAGAAGTCTGAGTCATAACAATAAGAAATGACTCTAGATAAAACAAAAGAGAGTGGGGGATAATAAAAATAATAAAGACAATAGAAACCTACCTCGCTATTGTCCTTTTAAGTGTCAGACATTAGTCAGCAAAGATGACCAAGCACTTCAGTGACTAAAACAGACAGAGTAATAGTGCAAACAAGCAGTGATCAATATTTGAGTATAGTACTTGAACGTGTGTGAGTGGAGAGGTTGAGCAAGTGAGACAGCGAGTACAAAGAAAAATTCCTCGTCAATCCTAGACCCGCGATGTTCCCTTCCCACTGGATCCCTCAGCACTGGCTTCTTCCTGGTCTCCAGCGCATGTGAAGTCTAGCTCATAAGCTTCGCCATAAAGACAAGCTCTGGCACATGCAGCCTTGGCAGCTTTGGCCTTGGCTTTTATTGCCTTCTTGTTGGCCTTGGCCTTGGATCGCTCTGCTTGCCAAGCTCGATATCTAGAGTATTGTGTTAGTTATGCGAGTTTTATATTGAAACATGTTACACGTCTGTCAAACTACTGTTCACCTTATAGGTACTATTAAAGGTCCATTATCTAAACTTAAAATTCATGACTATAGTCTTTTTGTAAAAGATGAGATCACAATGTGATTGAATTATAAAGCATGTACTAAAAATGTTATTATAAACATGATTTGCCTTGTGTTTAACTTAGCTACTCTCTTATGATAGACAGAATTTGCCTAAGTCTCTTTAGCAAAATCTCCTATATGTATTATATATGAGAGTAAGTTTGTAGGCTGATATGGTGTAGTGGCTAAATTGTCTGGTGTCAGTTGATCATGTGACTTTCTCTCAAGGTTGAGGGTTCAATCCTCACTGGTGACAACTTAAAAATATATTTTAAACTTAGATAATCCTTTGGATCATCCTTAGAATTATCTCAAAGATTATGCAAACAGATAATCCTTCAGTTTAAAGGCTTGCTGATAAGATAATTCTGAAAGAGGTCTGCTAAGTAAGGAGTCTGCTAATCTTAGAGGTCTGTTAATTAACAGTATATATTATCTTCCATAAATGACAATGATGGTTCAGCACAGCAGTCATCAGGGCACTCAGCATGACAGTCGTCGAGAACAGGTCTGCGAGTGGAAAGGCGATGGGAAGACATTGGGGGGAGAAAAGCTTGGGAAGTGCTAGCGAGCATTGTCTTATATGTGGACCAGTGCGAGGGAATGTTAACACCTGTCAGACTCAGGCGAAAATGTCAGGTAAGTGTGTGCATGCACGCTTTCACCCCGGTGTTGCCGGGGCAAGGTGTAGTGAGGATGTTGAGCGAGAGCCTACTACTATATCAAGCTGGTACCATTATACTAATGGGAATATACACCTTAATTAGAGAATACCGCTGATGCTCTGGGACTTAACAAAGAAGCATGTTTGCCAAAGCTGAGTAGGTGTCTGATGTCTACTGTTACAACTGGTGACTTCGTGTGATGCTGGTTCCCCGGAGTCACAATGACTTCTGAACATCACAATTCCTGCCCGGAGTGTACCAAAGTATAATTTATGGCAATATACCATGTAGACTCACCTCAAAAAATCAGTCTGACACCCACTACAAGGGATGTCCAAATAATATGTCGAGGTCACAGACACTGAGCAATATGGTCACGTGGTGATGTGACATGTATGTTGTCCGGTTAACAATGACTTCTGAACATCACAATTCCTGCCCGGGGTGTACCAAAGTATTATTTATAGCAATATACCATGTATACTGACCTTACAAAATCAGTCTGACACCCACTTCAAGTGATGTTTCTTAATAATATGCGGAGGGACACCAACTGACATGGTCACATAGTGACGCGATGTGTCTGTTGTCGTGTTGACGCATCAAAGCTCCGAATCCTACCCCTACTGTTTCCCTGTCTTTCTCGTGTGACCATGCCCGAGGCTGATGTCCTTTGTTCTCTTAACCATCTGGTCAAAAAGGAGCAGTGCTACTATGAAAAGAAGAACAAGCACGCCTTGACAGGTTCTGTCCATCACGAAATATACGTTCTTTGCACACCCTAACTACAAATAATATTCAGGCCAATTGCAGTTGTATCCACACTGCTTCGCCACAGGTATCAAGACCAAAAAATGGATTACTTGCACCACTGAACAATGTGATTACTGCGATGATTTGGAGCCCACACCAGGTGACTATGAGGTAGACACAATGAATAGCAGTCAATGCCCTAGTTTATATTGCCTGTAATTCTTCTCGTTCTCCTACATCGAGGAAATCACGCTGCGCAAGAAAGATGTCAATCCCTGTCTGGTTTTATATGGTAGGATCACGTGCCAATGCAACCGACAATTCAGTGATATGCAGAAATAATATGGAGAGATCCAGCACACACCGCAGTATGCATCTGCAGCACCTCTGATGCTTAATGACTTGAACAAGTGGCTGGCCGAGAGTGGAGAATCTCACGACATTGTGAGCATTTTGCAAAGTTTACTGCATGAGGGACAAGATGACAGCATATTGTGTAATCCTGAAGAGGGGGGTGCAACTGATGGAGAGAACTGAAGCTCTAATGACTTACAAGCTTCACGGATTGCCATTTTGAAGTAAGTTCTCTATCCGTACTCGCACCTCTGGCAATTCGCTCAATATTTAACAGGGATCTCTCGAATTATGAGGATCGCCAAGATGGTGCGCAGCTGTGTCCGGTATGTCTTGAGAATTTGACTCTACCAATTGAGGTTTGCAAGAAGATCTACACCTCATTGGCGAAACTTGAGTGACATAGTGGTTATTGGCATCATGATGCCAGTGACCAAGAAGGATTGATATACATCTATATGAATTACATCAAAGTTTTTGAGCGTACAATTACAGAGTATTTGTAGATCATCAGAATTATATATCCTACTGCCATTGCACCAATAGGAATTGTTCGAGCTCCTCCACATCAGCTTCTGTGATAGCTAGTGTACCCTGGACTTCCCTTCCATGTTCCTTCTGAAGATCAGCAAGGCTCTGGTACTTCTGAAGAATTTCCTGTGCAAGCTTGAGCCATTCATAATGTAACCCCACAATCACTCTTAGTGTCTCTTGAGACATCTTGAAGCACTTTACACTTTCCAAGGCATCCATGGGCACTTGACTAGCAAATGGCCCAGGCAGTTCTGTCCATTCCCCTCGAAATATCTCATGTCGCTCCTGCAAGGACAGATTTGGCCACATGACATCAAACTGTGCAAGAGTCCATTGTGTAAGTCTAGTGCTCTAGCACTGGCACACTTGCAATATAGTGACTATACTCACCTGACCTTGTCTTCTCTGATAGACATGTGATTCAAACTTGCCTCTAAATTCATTATCACCATCCTCATAAGCACCCTCTTGACATGGCCCATCCCCTTCGAATGCATTTGAACTGCTCTGCCAAAACTGTATGGGTCACAGTGCATGCCATTTTAATGAGTACTCACCTCAGTGATTGTTGTAGGTCTAACAAGTAAACCTGTCCCCCGCAAGATCTCATCAAGTTCATGAGACCTTCAGTTTAAATCATATGATTAATCCAATCTCCCAGTGGTACTGGAAAACACTTGCCTGCTGACATCCTGGTCCTTATATGTCGGATTGCTGTTAGTAAGTAGACGATGAATCTCTGCACCCATTTTACTCATCAGGACTAATGTGCTCTAGGGCATCGGTGGGAGGAGCAAAAGTGCACAGACTGTGCACTTGGATGACGACTTCACGCTCACTGTCAAGAGTGACAGCGCCCACGTCAGCCTTTCACTTGACTTAAGTTCTACAGTCATCCTTCAATCGAACTAATCATGGCCCCTCCTCATCTGAACAATGTAGGTTTTGCTGCTAGGCCTGTGCCCATATGCGACTGATATATAACCTCAGGCCCCTGCCAGTGCTCACGATCATTTTATTTGCACAGAGACGAAGCGTCTAGCTGCAACTTCTGCTCACATGTCTGCTGAAGAGTGGTGCATATCTTTATGGGTTTTGTACTATCCATTAAGTTCAACTAAACTCTACCCTAATAGCCTGAAATCTGCATACACGTCATATATGGTCATTCATCACCCCATGTGGTCTCTGCCTTTCTTCAAACTGAACAAGGGCAAAGATCAAGTGGAAGAGTCGCTGTCAAAGTAGTATAAATGCCCTATTTTTCTTGCAGTTGCCATTGTTGTCCACCTCGAAGCGAGCAAGTGTACTTTTGCAACGATGCATCCACTTAGCCAACAATGTAATACTACTCCGCTGAACGTATGCCTGCCCCTGAAGGTAATACTTCCATCTATCGCTCTCCCAGCTAAGCTATCATCAGAAGTATAGATCAAAGATTAGTTATAGTATATGTTAAAGTATGACAGATTGTAATATAGCAAAATGTGTATTTAATTATAAAGCAGTGTAATATTTTTGAATGGCAAGTGTAAAAAAGGGACTATATGCATATTTTAGAAGTTTAGGCTTATAGGAATTAAAATCAAAAATTGTCCTTGTCATGCATTAGTATCAGCCCACTCCAACCAAGTAAAATATAAATACTAGAAGAGCAAGAATAAGACAATTATTATGGCCTGGAAATATTTCATCCTCTATTGGCCCAACTCACACTAGGACTTACATCACATGCCTTTCATAACCAGTCCGTATGATTCTTATTTATTTATGCAGACAGCTGTATCTTCACTATGGTCTTTTGCTTTTGTCCTGATTTTTAATCACAGTTGGTCACCCAGTACTCAATCTTCTCCCTCTTGAGGCTAACTATTAAGTGTAGATTTGATGAAAAAGCAAGGCCAAAACATTACTACACCGGTGAATTATAAGCCACAAGTCATTTAAAGGTAAACAGACACTTTATCCCCCCAGTGAAAATAAATTTTGCCAGAAGCGTGGATTGAACACGCGACCTCCAGAACCCTGGATCGAAGGTAGAATCCTTCAAATACTTCAGTCTGTTGCTCTCCCAGCTGAGCTATCCCGGCATCCTTAGTGTCCAAAAGTCAATCTATTTATAGACATAGTTATTACCCACGTGGAGACCACTGTCCTAAGTGTTCATCCGTTCGCGCTCACTCAACCGTCATGTCTGGGACAGGACCTCGCGAAAATGTCTTCCCCACGCGCATGGCCCTCACCAATACCAAATTGCGGCTAAAGGGGGCGCAGACGGGCCATTCGCTACTCGCCAAGAAGCGCGATGCGCTGACGGCGAGATTCCGGGCCATACTCCGGAAAGTCGATGAAGTGAGCCCTCTTCTCCGCCATGGCCTGCATGTTCCAACGGCTGCTCTTGTAGCATTGACCATCCGTTGTGTTTCCTCCAGGCGAAGCGCAAGATGGGCCGAGTCATGCAGCTTGCGTCCTTCTCCCTGGCCGAAGTCACATATGCTACCGGCGACATATCCTACCTCGTCCAGGAACAAGTCAAGACGGCGACGTTTAGAGTCAAGGCAAAGCAGGAGAACGTCTCCGGTGTCGTCCTTCCTGCTTTTGAGGTCGAACGCGTACCAGGAACTGGTGGGCGCAGCAGCACATTCTGCAATCGCTGTCCTCGCTGATCGCTCATAATTGCCAATTCCCTTACTTCCCACAGACTTCAACCTCACAGGTCTCGGACGCGGAGGCCAGCAAGTTCTGCGCTCGAAAGAGGTTTACGCGAAGGCGGTCGAGACGCTGGTCGAGCTTGCATCTCTGCAAACAGCATTCATGATCCTCGATGAGGTCATCCGCGCAACCAACCGCCGCGTGAACGCCATCGAACATGTCATTATTCCCCGTCTGGAGAACACCGTAAAGTATATCACGAGCGAGCTTGACGAGATGGACCGAGAGGAGTTCTTCCGGTGAGTGCGGTCGCCTACGTCCAAATCACCCTTCTCACTGTTCGTCATTTCAGACTGAAGAAAGTTCAAGCAAAGAAGAAGCGGGATGCCGAGGCAGCGGAAGCTCTGAAACGCACTCTTACACAAAGTGAAACAGAACCCGAGGTCACTATAGGTGGCGGGGGCGGCGACCTGCTCAGCAGTAAGGACGAAGACGTCATTTTCTGATGTAGCATGCATGCATTTTCTTCTGATCACGGAATATATCATTCACTTGTAAATCAATCGTACCCTCTAGCTGCTGAGTTGACCGGAGGCGAGGGCGGCGCAATGCAGACATACGAGATAATGAACATACTAATCATATGCGGGTCGCATACATGTTGTGCTTTTGAAGAACAATGCAATAGTGGAAAGAGGCAGAGCAACAGAAACATAGAGAGATCACTGGAAAATGGGTCAGACACGCGTATCAGAATGAGAGGATCATGACGCACATCGACCATCTCGACATCCTCTCCCGCACTACGTGTCTTTTTCCGGTCCTTCCGATCCAGAATGGCTCTCCTACACAATCCCCGTCAGGATATAACCTTCCTACAGTCCTCCAAACGCACCTGTCCTTGTCAAGTTTGATGGTGGTAATCACAACGTTGCTGGGGTGGATGCCGATGGAGACAGTGGCACCATTCGACTTGTCCCGCTGCACACGGTCGACGTGAATCACCCACTTCTTACGATACACCTGCGTGACCTTGCCCTCCCGGCCCTTGTACTTGCCGCGTACGATCCGGACCTCGTCATCCTTGCGAATTGGTAGCGAGCGAGTCTGTTTACATGCGATAACGCCGTCAAACCAGTAACGATAAAGAAAGCGTGGCAACATACGTTGTACTTGCTGCGCAGCTCCTTCGACAACCCAGACGACATAATCTTGCGGCGGATGGAGGAGGGCGCCGAGAAGTGCGCCTTGCGCGACTTGCGCCGGGAAGAGGAGACGTCTAGGGAACACGAAGCACAGACAGAAACATAGCATTAGTGGAATTATTCAACGTAGGCACGATATCCCCAGCACATCCAATTCGCGGAGCAATCATCCATCTCCAATTGGCTCAAAATGAATCGTTCCTTCGCATTCTCTGGCTGGAGAACGGTCTTATACAGTGTCAAAACCACTAACCAGGGTTGAACTTCATCTTGAGGGTCTTGAGGGAGGTCGGCGGTCGAGGACGTGTATACACCCAGTAGCGTTGAGGCCGAAAATGGATAATTCCCACGAATATAGATCGGTTACCAAACGAAGCACTGACTCTGAGCGCTTACCAGATTCTTACCATCATGCCTGTTGACGACAAGGTGCGTTCTACAAAGCTCAAATTCAAGGGGGAGAAGACGAAGAAGAAACGCAAAAGAGAGGATGATGCAGGGGAAGGCTCGAGCAGCGGAGTAAGTCGCCGCAGGCGCAAGGACGAGGACGACGAGAGTCCGGAGACATGGGTGCTGCCAGAGGACGCCAATGAGATTCGTGGGCCTACTTTCATCATGCACCCCTCCGATCCTTCTCCCATTACTGTCACGTACGACTCCACACGCGGCCGCATCATCCTGCACTCGCTGGACAAGGAGGGAACAGACGGAGAAGAACCGTCACAACCGCTGGGTATACTGGAGCGCACGCCGACGGAGGTATCTCAGGTGTGGGTGACCACTCGCGTAGCAGGTTCTCCTACAATCAATTTACGGACAGGGACCGGCGAAGGGAAGTTCCTGTCTTGCGACAAACATGGGCTAGTGTCTGCGGACCGCGAAGCCCGCGGACCACAAGAGGAGTGGACGCCCGTCGTGCTTCCAGACGGTATGATTGCTTTCATGAACGTCTACGAGAAGTACCTTGGTGTCGACGAAGTGGCTGGTGGGACGATCGCACTGCGCGGCGACAGCGACCAGGTGGGGTTCGCAGAGCGCTTCTGGGTGAAGATACAGAACAAGTACAAGAAGGAGGCGCACGAGGAGAAGAAGAAGAAAGAACTCACGATGGACGAGGTCAACATTGACGAAGCAAGCGCGAAGTGAGTAGTACGGCCATGATGCGGGCGAGTTCACATGTAACATTCATGGTCAGCAAACTATACCAAGCATGGGGCGCCGGAAGATCCGTCGTATCTGACCAGGACAAGAAGGAGGTCGGTGCACGTACCTTGCAGCTTAGCACTCTGTCACTGACTTCGACTGTAGCTTAAGCGCGCCCGCAAAGAAGGCCGGTTGGCGGAAGCTCTATTAGAGCGTCGTGCGAAACTAAAGAGGTATATTCCGTGGTGTCTAATTAATCAATATGACTGAAGTGTTTCTTAGTGACCGATTTTGTTGATGCTCGTCGCGTCCGTATTTATTTGCTGCGAGACGTTATACCACGATTGCTGTGGCGGGCGCCGTTGAGACTACAATCCCGAGTAGACTGCTCATCACATTCTCTGTAACGGCGCGAAGAGGGCCGGCGGAATGGAGGACTCAGGATTTCGGCACATCCATTGCACCGTGTTGGATCTGACCGTTGCTATTTCACCACGGCCAGCTGTATAGTAGTGTGTTGTTGAATCCTTGCATGTACGTTAGCCGTTCAAAAGCGTTCCAGAAAATATTTTGAGGATATTTCGGTGATCACCTGGTATACGCGGGAGCCACGTGCTATGTGTCAAAATTAGCGCTCCATATAACGCGTCTTGAGCGCTTGGGCACGCGTTTTTCGTTTGTTCCTTGTAAATCAAATCTACCCTCACCTCTCACCCCATGGTCCACCACCCCACCATCGCCAACGCTTACGATGTCCTTGGACTTGAGCATGTAACGTACACTATTTCGCGCGTCGCGAACCGCTAAAGTCCAACATTGTGGCAGGACACCTCACTCGAGGTTGTCAAGAACACATACAAACAGGTAACAATCGGTGGCCCTCACTGGCAAACGCGATACTCATCGAGGAATTTAGTTGGCTCTCAAGACCCACCCCGACAAAAATCCAGGAAGTGCTGACGCTACTGCTCAGTTTCAGCGGATAAGTGAAGCGTACAATGTCCTGCTCAAGCACCTTGATAGATCGGCATCTCCTCCTCGTCGTTATGGGCATTCGCACACACATCACACGCGTTATGAGGACTATGATAATTATGACGAGTACAACGACGAGTACGATGACGATGACTACGATTCAGACTTCGAAGACCTCGACTTTTACATGTACGTGGCCCTTCATATCCGGTCGTTCAAGCATCATGGTACTCACATTTTCGTTAGGTTCCTGTTTGAGGAGATAATGAGAGGTCGTGCGAGCCGCCACCGCGCCAACATGTGTAAGCGTCTTGTTCATTCCTTCCTTCGACAACGACTGATTGTCTTCGCGCAGACTACCATCATCACAGGCCTGAACCTGAGACGCCAGAGCAATTTGAAGCTCGGATGAAACGCAAACGGGAAGAACAAGAGGCCGCCGAGGCTCGTCGCGTGCAGGAGGAAGCCGCGCGTAAAGCTGCGCTTGAGCAAGAGCGCGAAAGAGGTGAGAAGATTAAACCCCCAAGTTAGCCGTGTGATATTCAGAAATGTACCTGCAGAGAGAAGAGAGGCAGAGCAACGGCAGAAGGCCAAGGCGTCTGCGAAAAAGGCCCAAGCAGCCGCCTCCCAAAAGACTGCCGAGCAGAAAGCTCGTGCCCAGCAGGAACGTCTACAGACGCTTCGTTCTGCAGTCTTTGCTGCTGCGAGGAATGGGGACGCGGAGAGCGTGAAGAAAGGTGTCTGGGAGGACAATGTCGACGCCGCTGGCGGTGAAGTCAAGAAAGGTGCTGAGGCCTTTGTGAAAGTACCTCTCAAGGACCCGCTTGAAACATTGATGCATATTGCATCAGGTCGTGGGGATGCTGATTTGGTACAGTGGTTAGATACACATGGTTAGTTCCCGAACACGTCGTTCATTCGTCCGTGGTATTCACGAATATCGTTACAGGCGCTGATGCTGAGGAACGCAACGCGGAAGGCTTCACTGCTTTCCACGTTGCATTGCAGCGCGGATATATCCCAATCATCAAGCACTTCTTCGAGATGTACTCTCCTAAAGACTCGGACTTCGCGGAATTATATAATGCACCTGAATCTACGTTCCTCCTCCGCCTTGCCTTGGCTTCGCGCAAGGACGAAGTGGTCTGGATGATCCTGGAAACGCGTCTCGTCAGCCAGCAGCAGATCAGCGACGCCTGGGCATATGTGACATCTCATCCAGGGAAGGCTGAGATCCTTGGGACTCCCGGACAGAAAAACGAGGAGAACTTCGAGAGCATCTGCAATCTCCTCATGACCTACGGCGGGCTCACGCCTCCTTTAAGCCCTAAGGTCCAAGCGCAGAAGCCACCATCATCCCCCGCCCTTAGCAGCTCTCAGGCACCCTCGCCTGAACCCGAGCAGCCACATCTATCTAACGGAAAGACCCCCCGGTTACCTACCAATCAGAATTCCCAGCGACAAACACGACCACCACCCGCCCCGCGCCAGGATAGCAGGCCTTCTAGAATGCATCAAGACTCCAAAGACGACCTGCCATCCCCGAGCTCGCCGCATGGTCGGGAGTCACCGCGATTCCCGCCTTCCGAAAACCCTCAATTCCAATCGTCGCGAGGACGGGGCAGAGGGCGGGGCAGGGGTCGCGGGCTCGGTCGTGGTCGTGGCAGGGGTCAGCCACAGTTCCAAGCTGCACAATGAGCCTGTTTTCGACTCATTTTCTCATATCATCTCCATGCAACTGGCCACTGTATATTCAAGGTAAATAATCACCTGCAATAATTGTACTCCTCGACGGAGAAACATCTGTGCAATAGACTCGTTAATCTGATACGGTCTACTGACGAGGCGTGTTTCACAACTACGGGTCCACTGCTCCAAAGTTGCCGACAAGATCGAGTACTGAAACGGTCAGGTCATGATGTACTGGCTACCTATCACCTCCTGAAGACGATAACGCGGGCTGCAGGTGTGCACGCCGATGTATCCACGAGCAAAACTCTCCCATGCGTCCCGGGCCTCTCCCTCTCCAAGGATGTGACGAACGCGTTCCGCCGCCGCAGCCGTCTCCCCTATCACTTCGCGAAGAATTTCGAGCGAGGACTTGCCCTCGATGAGAGCGCGGTCACCGATGTAATTTCCCGTCTCACCGGCCAATTCCTCCTTGTAAAAAGAGAGGATATCACTAAGGTTAGGATAGAAGAATCAACAAAAACGTCAGTGTGTGACTCCGAATCACGCTCACTTGACATGGTTGATGTAAACGATGGTGTCACTGCAGCAGATAGAGTAAGTATCAAGATATCAAGCATTTCAGACTCTATAGAATAGACGTACGGAATGGCCTGAACATACTCCTTGACATCGGGGAACTTGGTCTTGTCCCAGATGAAGTGGGCGTAAGCTTCTGCGGTCGCGCTCTTGGTACGACGATACACAAGGAATGGAACTGCGTCGGCCGACAGCACCAAATCCTTCGTCTCATTCTCGAGGATGCACATGTTCACGAAATCCAAAGCGGAAGTAGAGATGGCGCTGGCAGCGTACCGCGGGTAGTGGTCCCACATGCCGGGGAGGAGCCGCGTGAGCTCCGCGAGTAGGCCGGACTGAGCCTCAGGCGCGCCCGCAGAGAAGAGGCGGTGGAATTCGCGGGAAGGCAGAGAGTCGAGTACGACCGGATCATCCAGGGAAAGGACGATCACGGTGAAGAGCGCGATTTGCAGTTTCGTGTCGAAGTTCGCGATGTGGTTGTAGGCGGTGAACGTAAGCGTAATCGCGGTATTGACGGGCGAACCAATGGAGCCATCAACGTCCCAGGTCTGGATAACCTCCTTGACTCGGGATGTAAGCTCGGGATCGCCCAAGTATGCAGGAATAGTGATATTTATTCTGCTGAAGAAATCCCTAATTGCTTCTTGACAAAGAGCTAAAATGGATTCCTGTCACGGTGCACGTGTGAGCAATACCTCGACCAAAAGGGACGAGTGAGATTCACTTTGCTTCGTGCAGCGGATGTTGCCTGGCGCGGCTGGCTGGACGGAGCTCTGGAGACAGAGTGGTCTTAGTGCGATCGGAGTGATGATGAGAGAGTACAAACACATACGGGGACTTGTCGTTGTATTCGAGGGCCATATCGTGCTTGTCAAATCCAGTAGAAAGTTGACTTGAAAACTGAGAGCAAGGGTGGCGTGCACGGTTATATAAGAGGACCAAGGTTAAACGTGCATGATGTAGAGTTGATTGACGTGCATGATGTTCCTACTAATTTGATGTTATCGTCGCGCCGCTTTCGATGCCCTCATGACCGAAGGCGGCGAACTGTTACCGTTGTTCATTGCATCGTGTCTGCAGGATGCCGCCTATGACAGCGCGTTGATTCCGTGTGGTTCGTTCAAGGAAGAGCCATCACGGGGAGACACAGCGTCCGACTTGGTCGAGACGCCCGCGCTGTGAGCCCTGAGTGAAACCATGCTATTGGTGGAGCAAGCCTCCAGACCAACGGAGTGCATATGGTCTGAAGCAGGATGCCGGATGCATATGGTCTGAGACAGCTGCAGAATGCCGGGATGTCGAAAAACCCTACGGTAGACTGAGGTACCTGTCTCTCAAATTTCCACGCTCGGCGCAATTCATCTCGGAGGAACACCGGAATTCGATGCGAACCACCTCCTTATCAATGAGAGTATCTGTGAAATCAGATCGAGGACACTGCCAAGGATGTAATCCTAGAAGTGGGCACTTCGAACAACCATTATCATCCAACGACGACGAGAGTTACAGTTGGGAAGATTCGAACAGCGTTCTTCAGCAGGCTACCACCTGTGGACGATGTAGAAACTTGAACTCCAGCACTTTTAAGGCTGTGGCACTGGTTCACTGCACGACGGAGGACTTCATATCACCTTGACCAGGTAAAAATGTAACCACATGGATGTATGGCACAAACCACTAAACTGAGAATCACCAGTAATTGTGATAGTAGTGAAATGAGCTGACCTCTTGGGGGAGCGGCGGGAATACGGCGAAGACACTACAAACCACCTCACCTTAACCACACGTACGACCGAACTGCTGGACATGAGAGGTACGAAATCGCGAGCAAGGCCATGATAATGTCAGACACTTCTGAAACAGGAACGAACGACCTCCCAGTGAGCTCAGCATGCGCTCGTCGCTCAACGACAGAGGGTCAGTGATCGGAACGCGTTGTCCTTTAAGTGGACGCACCGACGGAAGACTGTATCTGTCCCAGACCACCCGATCTCGCTGCCGATGGCGGCGATCGTTTGCAGAAGGAATCGGAAACATCGCTGCGAAATGTCTTATTTGTTTGCAGCAAATACCAGCACCTTTCAAGATAGGCTCGCTGATTTGCTTACCCCGGCACATTCTCAAGGTTCCACACTCCGGGTAGGGACGCACCTCCACGCACCCGCGGATGAAGCTTTCTTTATGTCTGCCGGCCATTAGGAGAGACCGAGTCGCATCTGCAAAGGTGACTTTTCTCCTGTAGCACCCATTTTCTACACAGTACACAGTAGACGGATCAAGTCCATGTAGTGCCATGTAGCATGCTGTAGCCATCACGGTGCTATGTAGCACCGCATAGGCAGGCCTACCGGCTGAGTGGAGGATCCGTCTCGGCAATGAAGCACCCGAATTCTGATTGGCTGGACAAGGATTGAGTGTCGATGCTTAGGGTGCTCGTGTACACTTTCAACTTAGGACGCAAGGTGTCAAGTCTCATGGTAAACAACCATACTGCTTTGCGCGAAGCATACAAAACATATGTGTATCTATGTAAGGATTGAGGTAAAATGACGTACACAGCTCCGTGACATTCTGAGTTGTCCAACGAGAATCCATCTCGCGACCGAAATTTGGTACGAGATGACAATTTCGAACAATGCGGTCGATGGAGATGATCTCCCCATACGGCTGATGCATGCGAGTTGACGGGCTGACAACAAACAACTCAGAATCAGGATCCATACGGCGGAGCGGTGTGAACCACTCGATGTATGCAAGTGGATGCTGTGCAAGCACAGGATAATGTTCAGGCAGTGCAAAGAGCACACGGATGTGTGCCACGCGGAGACCTTCCCATATGTCAGAACATCACAGACTCCAGGGCGGGGAATAACAAACCTTCTAATGGAGTTCCGGCCGTCACTGGATTGAACTCCCCAGTGCGAACAAGAGCGAAGTCAAGACGCGCATGCTGCGCAGTGCGTCGACCTTGAGCAGGAACTGGTGGAGATGCACGGACTACATTTTTGCAGTGACTAGGATTTGCTGCAGGGATTTGCGGTAGAGTGACAGATAGGCGAGCATAGAGGTTGAAAGAGTCGAAGAGATGGGGCTTGAAAGAACTGCCGTGGTCACGGAGGTAGATACCCAAGCAGTCTACAAAATGGGATGCATGGTGGTACAAGATGATATCGCTCGCTATAACACCTCGGAGAGCATGAGGGTGGTGCTTGGCAATCTTGTACTGAACCTGTAATGAAGTGCTCACATCGCGTGACATTTGGGTGGCTTCAATGGCTTCGGGATCTTCGCCATCTTCTGGGGCCAAGGACACCACGGGAGCAACCTGACCGTGATATCCACCGTTCTTGCACCAATTCAGATAGAGTGCGAAACGGTCGACTGCTTCCTGCCGTCGAAGCCAGATGACCATCTGATATAGATAGTCTTTGCGGTTGCTGGCCCGGTATGCATCCTTCGCATAGTCGATGTGAAGGCGCTCCGGAGATTCAGTGTTGAACCCGTCCGCACTCCCAAACAGTTTGATCATTGCGACATAGTGTTTCATCGCATGGATCTTCGGTATGTTAAAATGGTCCTGGTTCCGAGCTCCGAGCTCTATGAAAATGTCCTTGTGAGCATGGAAGCCATCAAGAGCTTCTTGCAGGGCTGCCAATGTCTGAGTCGTGTGCGACTGGAGCGAGGCATAGTAAATGAAGTCGATCGTCGCCCGGACAGCTCGGATGATGCGTGGGTCTGCGCAACCCATGACTAAACCCAGAAAGACTTTTTCCATCTCCTTGTGCTCCGCTCCTGTCCACTGCGAGACTCCCGATATGCCGTGATCAAAGTGACGAAGACCAGATATTTCACTCATAGAGCGGAAACGTGCATCGACTTCATCGGTACCCACAACCGCAGTACACCACTTCACCAGGTGGTCCTTGAACACACCTTTGTGTAGCTGGTGCAGCAAATCCGGAGTGAACCATTGGAAAACGTCCGAATATGGCAGATCTTGCCAGAAAGGTGGGTACACCGGCCGCAAACCAAGATCTTTGAATCGATGCTTTTGTTCGGGGCTTGGGTGATTCGCATCTAGCTGCGCAAGGAGCAACAAAGTCTCGGAGACTTCTCGTTGGGGATGAGTGTCATGTCCTCCCCGTTGCTCTGGGACAACCTTGCACATCGGACATCTATTTTCCATACAGCATGCGACCAGGCATTGTTCAGGATAATCCGCGACATACGAGGCAACAATGGGCCAAACAGACCGTAGTAATCCATCCGCACATGTCATCGTGACGCCAGTGTGTCCTGCTTCAGCCACTGATGCAAGCATAGCGCGCATGCAGTGGTGAAAGAGTCGGTACTTCACAATGGACCTAGTTTTATCACTGAAACAGTCTAGCTTGCCGACAGGAAGATATCCAATCAAGACCGTGGCATGAGAGGAGGCCTTGCGACGCACGTCCTTGGCGATGTTGCCGATGGTAAGGTATACCGGCCAGGCACTTTTGTCTCCACGGAACTGTGATAACCTTGTCTTGTCGGACGACAGTATGACCGGTGCAATTGTGGCACCGGGAGGAAGGCGTTCCTGTGACCTGTCAGTGAGTTATGCAAAGACGTGTAGAAAAGGACTTCTTACCTGCAGGTTTGACCACCACTCCGCTGTCCACATCTCACTTGTGATCTGAACTTCACCATTTTCATCGGCAAACTGACGCTCCGGTGCGTACTTCATGACGTCTTCAAAAACAGGATTGTTGAAGAGCTCGCGGATGCACTCAAGTGGATCGCGGAACCACAGCTCTAGGTTTTCTGTCAGGACATTTCCGTCTTGATCAGGGAGATCCCCAGTGAGTTCAATATCCTCACACCTCCAGTCAACTCCGCTGGGTAGCGAGTCAACTGCGCTTAGCAAAGCATCTTTGTTATGATAGGAGGGATGGACGCGACTGCTGATCTGTGCTCGTTTTGGTAAGTTCAACATCCACTTTGTCCCGTGGACAGATGGTTACGTACGATAGGAAGCTTCAAGAAGTTCTCTGCCTGTGTATGTCCCACATTCTGGATGAGCCACTTCGCCAATTCCCACTCCTCATTGTTTTCGAATGGTCCGTATATTTCAGATCCTTGCAAAATCTGCTCATCGTGAATGCTCGTGAACAGTGTCTTCGACTCACCCAAAGACTGCCCTGCACCGGAGAAGACTTGAGCATAACGAGCCTGTGGATAGCTGGAGTCCTCGTCCAGAATCTCCTCCACCGACGGCCTGTGAGGTAGTGATGCATCTACATCCGCCTCCAACGGTACCTCAGGCTCAACATCGGCTTCAGCTACAGGAGCATAATCCTCTGCACCTGCATCGTGGTCCATATCGAGCATGTTGGACAATATGGTGAGCCCTTCTTCAGAAGCTGCAGAGGGGAGATGGTTTTCAGGAGTAGAAACAGTGTCTGCATTACTGTCGACACTCGACTGTTGATTCAGGTGTAAATTGGTCCACCATGAATTACGCCGCCGTAAACATGCCGTTGCTTGGGCCTGGTGACGCCGAACAGCAGTCTCAGTTTTAAAGGATGCTCTGCAGAACTGACAGATTGCCATAGGTCAAAGGAGTGTTGCAAAAGTGTCTGCAGATTTCCAGGACACCGCGGAGTTCTTCACAACCGGCGAGCGCCGGTGTTTGCAAGTGATTGGAACCACTGGGCATTTTTCTAAAATTTCCGCGCGCCCTTTTACTTCCTCTGTCTTACTCTCCATCATTGCAGCGAGGGAGGCCCACCATGGCTGATCCTCCCGACGATGTTTCTCAATTCCAGTCTCAAGAGCCTCCTGGTCCATCAGGCCGTGGGCACCGCCAGCCTCGCTCCACTACACGCCTTGAAGGTCACCGTATGTCTGCGCATTTTCTTCCTTCACTCAGATATGCTCACTGTATTATTTTGCAGTTGATTCTATTGCAAAATCGCAAGCACGACGTCAGCTATATGAAGCTCGCAAGCTGGCTCAGAAAAGCATGGATGTACCAGTCCAGTCGCTGCCGCAGAGTTACACTGGCATGCTTCCGATCTCTCTGTCTACTCTGACGGCCACAGAGGCCTCTCACGAGCAGGCCTTCATGCAGCAGATGTGGCAGCCACCCGATACCTCTACAGTTCAAGAGCCGCACAATATGTTTATGTCCAGCACGATGCCCGAAATTGCTCATCGCAATTTAGATAATTTTAATTTCGAGTCCCTTACATTTGATACTCTTGCCCAAGCTCATTCGTACACATATAACCCGTCAACCCCTTCCATTCACACTGCCCCTAATCAATTACTCCTTCAGCATGATGCATCAACAGCAATCACGTTGGATCAGAGTTTCGAACGCCAGGAACTAGCTCTGCACGTGCCCGGTTCCTCAAGGCCTTCTCCCGATGGTAATACCTGACTCAATCTCATTACCACTAGCGTGTCGCTCAGCTCAATCATGCAGAACCCGGTGATGAATGTGCCATGACTACTCAATCTGATAGCCAACTTGTTGACCAGCCCCTTCCGCGTGGGATGCAGATGGTGCATGAGCCTCTTCGTTTCTTGTCCGTTGACTACTAGCTGATGTACAAAATACGAACTATTCTCTAGATCAGTTCGACCCCTGTATCCCTCCCAGTGCATCGTGTCAGTAAACACGGTCTTGTCCACCGCATTCCTGCGCGCACGGCAAGTACTCCAAAACCCACTCAGACCCTCGTTCCTACTGCACGCAAGCCTCATTTAGTACGACGAGTCACGGGCTCCAGAGTTCAGCGACCCGCATTGGGTAACTCCGCAGCAATCAATACTTTGCAGCGTATGGGCACTGTTACTGCACATACGCAGGACAGTCCCAGTCTCACGGCAAGTAAACATACAACATACCTCGCTGTTCTCATTGCTTATAGAATGTTAGACTGGCGCTGGGCAAAATGTGATGAGTACCCCGACCTCATCTAATGACGGATGTATCGAGGCGCTCGAGGACGATGACACTTCTGCCGAGGACGCAGAGGATCTCCCTCCCACGAAGAAGCCCAAAAAAACTCTGCGCGACCGCAGTGCACGTGGACTCACAGCGGAGCGCCATGCGATTATTGTCGTGGTGTACCAGCACTTCAAGCTCATGCTGTGCACAGAGGGTGCATATCCGGTGTCGGCAGATGAGGACAGGATGATAGCAGAAGCTTGGACTATAGCTTGTGGCGAGAAGGAAACCCCGGACGACCTGGTCCCCACCGAGCAGGAGCGCTTGTTGGTGAGTGCAGTAGTATGACAGTGCTTACTCTCATGTGTACTGAAGGCTACTTCGAAGGTGCGAACGCGTGCCACGCAAGTACGCAGTGCTCTCAAGAGTCTTGCACGGCAACTGCTGGAGAAGCACTACGGTTTCAAGCAGGGCCTTACTGCTGAAATCAAGGAGTACAACCGTGCCCTTGTGGCATTATTGAAGCCAAAGGTTGCATTCGCACATATAGTACGTTCACTCCTCACTCAGTATGCAAGCACTAATACCGACCTATATGTGATTCGGCAGGATCCACACAATCCGACGACGATGTGTCGTCACCCAATCATCGCGGAAATCATCACAAGGATGTGGTTCAAAGATGCCGAAGATGATGGTGTGCATCATCCCGAGTACTTCGAGAATGGCCTAGTGATGCTACTCGCCCTCGTCCTAACAGAGGTGAGTATCTTCATCCCTCTAACAAGCCTCTTACTCATATTATGATGGCCTCAGATTGAATGTGCCATTGATGAATGGGCTACGGGGATCCATCGCGCTGTCGAACTTCGCGCTCCGAAGTACAAGCAGAATTACGAAAGGCACCTCCGAGAGCTTCGCAAGTGGGAGAGGTACTCGAGTACGCGGTCGAAAGCCCCGCAGTGCATGCAAGATGACTTACTGAAGACACTCAGGTGCGTTATTGATCTTCTGTCCTCATGGACATTGTTGCTCAGTTCGCATTTGCAGAGCGAATGCAGGTGTTTCGGATCAATCAAATAATTCCGCAGCTGAGGAGGATCTGTCTGACGATGACTTTGCTACGTACGAGATATGATCGCCCTCTGATGCTGGTCAATGTTTGTATTCCTGCGCTACTTAGCTACAGATTACTATATATGACATTGAACGGTGACATCATCTCGTATGTTTCGAATCTGCGATGTGTGCGGGCACGAGTTGTCGACCGGCTGACATCGGACCGAAATAAGTTGCAGCTGCCGACGTATCATTTGTGATCCTAAAGATAGATTTTCGACGGATCTACAGGTGGCTACGCGGCCCTATGAGCCTATTGTCCAACATCGCTACCAGTCTACGCTGACCTACAGTAGGGAGACCAGTTCTACAGAGCTGCATATACAGGGGACTTGGCAACCGGACTCGTAGTTCCTAGCCGAGCTACATAGTCCTACGTAGACTTCTTGCAACTTCCAGATGTCGTTGTCAGGTCGGTGCCATCAGGCACTGTCAGGTGGAATTTCCCGAACTGTCACTGCCGTTGGTTCGCTTTATCGCTTTATACGTAAAAGGCAGCCGTTGAAGTTAGGTCTGGCAGTTGGCGACTTGATTTCGGGCTTCAGCAGCGCAGAAAGCAGGTATTAACTTCATATAGCGCTGGTTAGGATGAAGCGCCTCATCGTACGTCAAAGGTATATGGATAAAGCAAGTCGTAATAGCAAATAGCATCCTATGCTCTGTAGCTAATCGATGAGGTATCGGCTTCCAACCACCTCTTGCAGACGATAGCGCGGGCTGCTGATGTGAAAGCTGGTGTAACCGCGGACGAAATTCTCCCAAGCGTCCCTTGCTTCCCCCTCTCCAAGAATGCGTCGCACGCGCTCCGCCGCACCAACCGTCTCATCAATTACTTCTCTCAGGACCTCAAGGGCAGATTTACCCTCGACTAGACCACGATCTCCGATGTAATTACCGGTCTCGCCTTCAAGCTCTTCCTTGTAAAAGGAAAGGATGTCACTACAACGAAGTTCGTAAGCTGTGTAATCGAGTGGTACAGCAAGCACATGGGCTCACTTGACGTAGTTTATGTAACGCATGGCGTGGCTATAGGAATACGCATCAGGCGTGAGAGTTGGTTGGTGACAGCTTGAAAGATACAAGACAACGTACGGTATAGCTTGGACATAGACCTTGATATCAGGGAATTTGGCCTTCTCCCAGATGAAGTAGGCATAGGCTTCGGGCAACCCGCCCTTCGCTCTACGATACTCGATAAATGGAGCTCCGTCTGAGGACAAGGCGATTGCCTTTGTCTCATTCTCGAAAATGGTCGCACTGATAAACTTGAGCACTGAACTGAAAATCGCACTTGCAGAGCACGGGGGATAGTGGTCCCACATTTTGACGAGAATGCCCCGAAGTTCCCTGACCAAACCTGACCTATTCTCAGCTGAACAGGGTAGAAATAAGGTGTGCAAATCGCGCCAAGAGACCGAGTTCATTATGACAGGAACGTCCAAGGCAGTAGTGATTGCGGTGAACAATGCGATCTGCACCTTCGCCTCGATGTCCGTAAGGTGGTTGTAAGCTGTGATAGTAATCGTGAGGGCAGTAATGACGTGGGGACGAATTGCATCTCCAAAGTCCCAAGTTTGAAGGACCTTGTAGACACGAGACATAACTTCGAGATCGGGTAAATACGGAGGAATTGTGACATTCATTCTGTCCAGAAAGTCCCGTATTACTTGCTGACTCACAGCCAATAAAGAGGCCTGTGGGGCATAAGTCATAGATCGGAGAAGCACCAAGATTGGCGTATTCACCTCGTTAGATGAAGTGCCGTGCACAGCGTTCGGGCCAAGGTGGCAACTGGTGGACGAGCTGGAAAAAGCATAGTAGAGTTGAATCAGTGCACTGGCATAGGAATGCGGGTACATACGGAAGGTGCTCATTCCCTTGGACAGACATGCTGCAGTTGGTTAGAGAGAACTGAGCGTTGAGGGACAAGGGAGGGTTAGATGGACCGCGCGTGTCGAGATACAGGTTAGTCTTTACGGAGCTCCACCACTGCAATTATATCGTCCGGACCCATGTGGCAGAACTCTCGTATCATTCTGGTTTTCATGACACCTGTCAATAATAGATGAACAACTACATCTAGAGAGCGCGAAAGCGAGGCATACTCGTAATACTCGTACTTTCTCAGACGCCGTTTCAGGGTATCCGGCGACATGAGCCACTTCAAGAACGAGCGCCGTGTATCAATCAACTCTAGTAAATCGAGAACTCAGCAAATGCGCGTTACCGATCGTTTGGTTACAAGAATGATTCGTTCAGAGAATTGGATTGGTGTCTACGAGTAAGCTCGCTGAGGTGAAGGCGCTTCGCTGTCACAAAGCCGCAAGGTAGATAGAAGAAAACTGTTTCCCTTACCACTGCAACCATAATTGAATATCAACATAGTCGTTTCATAAAATTCAAGCACTCAAGTACTCATTATCCGACTAGAAGTGCATGATCCGGGCTCGTGTTCTCACGATGTTCGACTTCGGAGAAACCGACCATAGTTTGTGGTCCCGTTCCATGACGGAAGCTGCATTACAGATCTTGTTCTCGTTAAAGAAACATCTCACAGAAGATACAGTAACTCGCCTGTAAAAAGCGCACGAAAAATTGTCTGAGGTACAGGTGCACGTCCAGAACGCAAGGCATGATGATTGTGGTTCAAACATGACAGCTGTGAACCACAGCCGAGTGGAACTTAACACGTGGGCGACCTGCAATGATTACAACCCATCGGAGTCGAATCGGAAATTAAGCAGGCTGTCGTGGCGCGACACAGACTGGAAGACCTACTATCGTTACCTGGGTATTGCAATCTGGTCTAGTTGTGCAATTTCGTCCTTTTGACGCATTCCGCTGCACCACAAATCAGCAAAAAATGAGCAGTAGATGTGTATGACCCCAAATACCTTGGCCGTGCAACTGGGGGGTCCAACTCGGAGGGAAAGGTGCAAAGTCTGTGAATTGCAAGTCAGGAGTGATTCAGGCGTGACAGTGAAGTGCGCCATTTTAAACTCCGACTGTAGGGGGAACAAAGGTACGGCAGGTCGGCAAGCGTGACGATCTGTGACAGATTTGGCGCTCTTGCGTGCAAACGAGTCTCTTCACTGTGTTCGGTCTCGGGGTCGCACAACATCAGAAAAAAAATTGGGAGTCACACAGAAGGTAGTTTATATGTTTTATATTTGATCCGATAAGTTTTGAAGGAAAATGGGAAGGAACGGTGACAGAGATGCAATCGTGATTGCATTACTGGGGTAACGATAGTACTTTCAATGTCATCTTGACAATCCAATTGAGCGGAACTCCGATGAGTGCCGCTGTAAGAATGCCGGTACTGCGTCCATCAAGTTCAGACGCTCCAAGCGGGTGACCCCATTTTCAGTTCATGATATCGATGTAGTCGCTTTTCATCACCTCCCAAGAACACACTTAATCTGTCCACAGCAGTAACCGTCTTCTCGATAGCATTTCAAGTGGGCCCAGCACATAGCCTTACTTGACATAGTTCAGGAAGAGTTCAGTGTCGCAGGGGCAAATGTTAGCAAGAGATTTATGGTGAGGCAGCGAGAGCACGTACGAAATCGCTTACCGCTTCGACGTACCCAGAGATCGCGAACTTGTTCTTCTCCCAAATGAAGTAAGCAATTTTCACGCGGTGATATTCGACGAGCGGCCGAGGACAGAACGAGATTCTTCGTCTCGTGCTCTAGAATGGTCCCATTCACAAACTCCAGCGCGGAACTGACCATTGCGCCAGCAGCAAAGCGCGGGGAATGGTGCTACATGCTGCGGAGAACCTACACCCACTCTCATAGCACTCCCGCAGCAGAGAAAAGGCAGTGGAAGTCGCAAGAAGACAATGAACGGAGGGTGGTAGAGTTCTCTATTATGGCGAAGATCAAGGTGTACAAAATGGTCTGCACCCTTACGATTGTAGGTCGGAATATTATGAGGATAGTAGTAGTCAAGTGGCGGAGTGGGACATCCTCGAACCATCTTGTTGACTCGGCCCGTGACTTCAGCATCGGGTGAAAAGTGGTAACAGGCAGGTCGGTCCTGTCTAAGAAGTACCATATTGCTTGCTGAGCCAATATGGAACCTTGAAGGAGGTGTGGGTTACACGCCGATAGAAGAAGGATGACGCCGAACATGTTAAACAGCACTCACAGAGGCTCCATGCTCATATGCTATGTATTCCGGCGCCCACGTCGTACCGGTGCATCTAATGCAATATCCTCGGCTGCATGACATCTATACGACTGTCATATCTCCCATGTCCCGATAGTAGATTGGTTTGCGCCGGCAAAAAATCTACTACTGTCCACGCTCCAAACACTTGGACTAGGTCCGTGGTGCCGAAGACGGATGCACTCGCACAGTTGGTGATGCTGGTGCATCGCTCAAGGTCCACAGTCCGAAACTGCGTCGCAAAATGCAGTCTAGTACGACATGACCAACTATGCGCACGAAAAGGTTTCCTAGAGAGGAGCGGGAGGAAATCGAACTGTCGCAGACGAGTATCGAAATATTGCGCAAGGGCTCTAGCCTCGTACTACCAAGAGGTACTTATTGTGGATGAAGCATCTCCAGGAACAGGCATTGGGCCCTTCATACGGGGGAAGACGCACAATCGCACGTTGTCTTGTCACCTTGCGAGCTTCGAGGTGAGGACATGGCGGGGCTGAGGTCACGGTACCTGAGAATCAGTCCCGAACGCCGAACGGTACAGCAACGCTCACCCCTTCCCATTAGCGAGACGTCGTCCACAACCATCAAAGTCGTTAACCAGTCGGAATAGCACATGCCCACTAATTTTTACGATTGCGTTTTCTTTAATGCATCATAGAAAACATTCAGGTAAATTTCGTTGAAAAGCGTCAATCATCTCCGACACGGACTCCCAATCCGAGGAGTCCGAGGAGGCACCCCGGTGGCGAGGTAAATAACGGTCAACAAGGACTCTCTGTCACGTTCAACGACCACAGTGCACTTCGGTTAGAGCTGAGGAATTCAGGGTCATTCAGGCACAATGGGTCGACTAGCTGAAATGCAGAGGAAGCTCCTCGAGGTGAGCTCCGGTCCTGTCACGTATACAATGTCTGCTGATAGTTGTATTTCAGCAAATGATGGGTCCGGAGGCTATGGGTGTCGCAAACGCCAACTTGACCTGGTCGGATGAGAAAGTTTGCCGAAACTTCCTCTGTGGGACATGCCCTCACACTCTGTTCACAAACACCGTGCGTGGTGACATCACCAGACTCCCTAGTTGCTGACATGTTCTCATTGTGGCAGAAAATGGACCTCGGCGCTTGCCCGAAGTCGCACACAGAGCGACTGAAGACAGAGTTCAATCAAGCTCGTGAAGCCAACCCCAGTGATCCTATATTTGCGCGGTTCCAGATGGAATACGAGTCCAACATTTTCGCATTCGTGGATGAGTGTGACAGGAGGATTCGAGCGGCGCACAGGAGGTTGGAGAAGACGCCCGAAGAGAATGCAAAGACAACGAATCTGGCTCGTAGTTCTTGCTTTGGGCGGTACTCCCAGACTGACCGGATGACAGATGAGAGAAATTGCTGAAATTGAGCTGGCTATTCAAGGAGGAACCGAGAAGATCGAAACTTTGGGCGAACAGGGCAAGGTGGATGAGTCCATGAGGGAGCTGGCTGCTATCGAGGCTCTGAAGAGTGAAAAGGCGGACAAAGAGGTGTGTTTTCACCGCTACTTGTTTGAATGGCCATGGCTAACAGGTTACCTCTAGCGTGAACTCCAACAGTTGACCGATACTTCAGGTGCTTCGGGACACCAGAAGTTACGTGTATGTGATGTCTGCGGTGCATATTTGTCCGTGTTGGACTCAGATCGTCGCCTCGCGGATCATTTTGGTGGAAAGGTGAACCTCGAACAGCCTTGTCGGTGGCGTTACTGACCGGGATACACAGATGCACTTGGGTTATCACGAATTGCGCAACATGTTAATTAAGTTCAAAGAGGAGCGAGAAAAGCGCAAGATGGGACCTCCGTCGTCGACACCCTCCGCTGGAGCTGGTGCTTCGCCAGGACCTGGTGTCCCTCCCCGTGGTGACCGTGACTTCCGATCCCGAGATGATTTCCGGGATCGCGAACGTGACCGTGGATACGAGAGACATCCGTCGCGATACGAGTGCGTTTCCACTCCCATCTGCTGTGAATGATATTCGCCGATGCTAATATGTTGTGATGCAGTGATCGCCGCAGGGAAAGAGAGCGCTCGCGCTCACCTGGGCGGCGAAGATTTTAATAGACGAATTGGGGGCCTTTTGCATTGTTTCTGCAGTATATTGTTCTGATTCGTAGTTTCTGTTATGTTATGTGTCAACGTGCTACTTCAATTGATGATTCCATTGAGGATTGCCCAGCATCTACGTTCCGGACCATGGTCCACTTCTGCCGACGTTACAACTACAACGGTACCATGAGTAGATAGATTCCCGCTAGCTCTGCTAGTGGGTTCTTAGAGGTGATCGACCTGTCCGTCACGGTGCTCCCCGCCATTTTTGCAAAGTCACGTGTTTGATGTCACAACAGGTCACGGCGCAACAGCACACGTAATCCACCATCGACTGAAAAGGTGCATCTCAATCGCTACGCGGCTCATACGCAGAAATACCCGCTTCAGTTCTGTTGGATGTGTCCTGCTCGGAGTCAACTCTGTCTACTCGTTTCGCCTTGGCGCATGGTCTACCGCCTACCGTCTCTCTGATCTCAGGGGTTGCGCACTGTACCGTGTCCGGCCCAGTTGTCATACCGTCGACGACGGGATACTACACCTCCCACCACCCGTTACATGTTGGATATATTGCGGATCCCGACATCGTTCTTGGGCACGACTGGATGGATATATTATGCCCGATCATTTCTGGCGGTGTACTCGCGGATCCAGACCCGTTCGACACATTCAACGCGCCACAAGGGTACACATGGATGGCTGTGCGCTCCGCCGACGGTGCGCGTCATGCTCTTCACCCATGTCCAGTAGTCCTGATGATCTTGTGACAGATGCAAGCACGCCCTCTACCTCTACCTCTACGTGCGGCTGCAGCTACTTCCCCCGGTACCCTTTCAATGGTATTTCTCGCATTTTTATTACTTGTCTACGTTACTGATGAAATCTTTGCTGTTTTAGAAGGTGCGAGCACCTCTTTCTCTCCGTACGCCGACACTGCCGATGGCAGTCATCTCGTTGAAGTTGGATCTCCGTCTGTGGCTGTTCCCACTCGGAACGGTAGTACTCTGTGTCCTATCCGTATGGCGGATAGTGGTTCTACTCATTGTACGTGCGCCTACGGTGTAGGCAGTTCTTCGTTTTCTGACCCGCACGTCGCGGGTGGTTCGCCTTTGTCATCGCAACCTGTCTTTGTGCAAGGTTGCGAATCTACCGGTCATCGTCTCCCGTCATTGAGTCCGAATATTGCATATACATTGAGTATCATGTTTCCTATACATTCCTCATCCTTCCTGTTCACAACTGATGCCAACGAGGACCTGCTGGTGAGAACAGCCAAAGCACATGGCATTGAGACCGACACCATTGCACTTTGTGTGCAGCAAGAATTGAAATCTGTATATTGAAATCTGTGTAACCTGCAATTTGTGGTGTCTAATGTCGAATCATCATATCGCAAACAACCTTCTCCCAATAAGCTAGCGGGCTCTGCGCGGCGCTACGGACTTATTTGTGACGTCGTCCACGGATAGCGCAATTCACTTTCATGCGTCCGTCACGTGCGTGTACTTATACACGCGTCCGGCACGCGGTCACCTAGGTTTCTTCAACGACGTGACCTTGTTAGCTAGCCATGCAAGTCACACTTCAGCTGTAGCATCATGCCGCCAAACGCGATTGTGAAACTCAAAGAGTGGATCTCTCCCAAAGGCGACCGCAATGTCAGCCGGATCCTGAGGCGGCGAGGGATGATTGCATTCTTGTGGAAAAACCTATCGTCTTTGACGTGAGTATATCTAGCAAGCTGCGCGTAATCTCAAACTTACTTCTGGCATGCACCAGAGTGACACTACTCGTGCTTGGACATCTCTGGTTTTTTGTCATTCCTTGGCCGGGACTCGGTCAAAGGACGTATATTGACGAGAATGCGCTGCAGCCAGGACAAGTGAGCATAGGCGTTGGCTGTGGTATAAATTTATGAATGTATCTGCCCCCATAGGTTCATACATATTGGAACTGGGGTGACGTCCACCGCGCGGATCAATACTTGAAAGAATTAGAAGCATTGCATGTGAAGAATGCCACGAGTGAGGTGTAAGGTTGCCATCTCTGTAGCAGCCAGATTATTTCCACATCTTATGGTCCTCTCTAAGAATTGCATCTTTCATTGCCATTGAATTTGAAAAAATGGGTATATCCGCATCTACCCAGCGTTATTCCTTCACGACTGGCTCGGGGGTTGTACACCTTCCTAATTTCCATCTGCATCTTCATATTGATTTTTTTATTTCCAGTCGAGAAACGGAACAAACGCCTACGCTGTGCTTTCATCCCCTCGCGCCTCTGGAACAGAAGCCATGGTAATCAGTGCCTCGTGGCTGAGCAGGACAGGAGAAGGCGATGGCACCCTGAATTTGCGAGGCGTATCGACAGTCCTTTCCCTGGCTAATTTTCTTAAAGGTCGGCAAACCTATGTTGTCCAGACGAATGGCTACTAAATCTCAATGACTACAGGATACTCATTATGGGCAAAGGACCTAGTTTTCGTAGTGAGCGATGGCTATCTGGAAGGAATGCAGGCCTGGATCACCGCATACCATGGTGCATCGCAGTCAAGTTAGTGTTAGTTTCAACAATTTGGTTCTGTGATTACACCAGCTTATCTGCGCGTTAGACTTGCAAGCTGAACGCCTGAGATTGATGTCGGGTGTCATTTGGACGGCTTTAAATATCGATTACCCTGGTCACTCGTTCTCTCACCTTGGTGTCTTCTTTGGTTCGCCTATCTTGTTGTTGTGCCGTCGCAGCCCTGACGTTTCTTCTAGAGGGTCTCAATGGCCGTCTTCCAAACCAAGACCTGATCAACTCATTTCATGTAATTTCACGTCATACGGGAGGTGTCCCCATGCTTGTGTACGACCATCTCGATCCTCGGGAGTCCCCCACTACCATGGACGAGCTCAACGGCATTCCCGTCTGGGTACCGAACATTATCAAGCACGATGAAGTAGTCAATGACTACATATATCGCGCTAGAAATTTTTTCCGACATGTAGGCTACCAAGCTCGTGGCAGGGCCAGCGGTGTTCATGGATTGATGCATCGGTGCGCTGAATTTGTTATCGGTGGGATGTTGTTACTATTGCGACTTACTCTGATATCATAGATTCCGCATTGACGCAATTACTCTCTTTGCTGTGCCCGCGTCGGGACCCCATGGATTCCATGCTATTGGCCGGTTCGTCGTGGTCTCCTAATTGTCCAGAGATCACAGGATTGACGTGATGGCGTCCTAGTATCGTGGAGTCCACGCTTAGGACGACCAATAATTTGCTAGAACGCCTCCATGCGTCCTTCTTCTTCTATCTTCTTTTGAGTCCAACGACCTTTCTCAAGATAGGAAGCTACCTTCCCAGCGTCATCTTGATCAGTACGGCGATGATGTTCGCAGGGCTAAGAGAGTGGGTCAATGCAGGCTGGATCTGGACAGTGGAACATCCCGATCCCGGTGACGAACATAACAAGGAGACAGCGGCTTCATCTGGGAGCGGAAAATGGACACGACGACACAGGCCGGTGTTGGAGGCACTGAGCCTCATGATATCCACTCATGCAGCAGGAGTCGTGCTTTTCTTTGCCATCAGCAGCCCTTGGTTTGTAGACTACAAGGACGACAAACTGGTATGTCGTTACAGCATGATCAATGTCAGATAACAAACAAACTCTCCCAGTCTACTTTAGAACTGCTCTTCAGAACGATGCATGTTCTTGCCATGACGATCATGATATCCTCAAAACCGCCACCGCCAGACGCTCCACTTCCTGTCCTCCTAAAGTCCCTCAACCTCTGCCTAGCCTCCGCAGTCATCTCGATCATCGCCGTTTTGAACTTCTCCCTCGCTGCACTTCTGGCTGTCTTGTTAGGCCTGCCATTGTTCCTTGCTGCCTCAGAGCATGCTTTCTTCACTCGGTTCGCAATTCTCATTGTGCATTACTACCTCGGGTGGATATTATTCAGCCCAGCCGAACTACGTCAGGCAGTTTGGAATTGGCAGGTGTTGGGCGGGTGGTTTGCACCCTTCGTTTGCGTAGTATATGCCCCATTGATGCTTCAGGCAGCATGTGCTTGCCTCTTGTCTAGAATCAGAACAGTGTAGAGCTAATTGATACACAATGGCGGGTCTATGATACAGAAGCTTTCAATCGATGTCCATACCCACACCTGGCTCGTCTCCGAACAAGTCGTCATGATCGTCTGCAACATCGCCGTCTTCATGGCCACCTTCGGTGTCGGCATCCTCGAAGACAATCCCCTCCTTCCGCATACGCGTCTTCTCCTTTATTTCATCCCTCTGAGCTAACTTCATGTCCAGATCTGCTTGAAGTTTCTTCAGAGCGTCCTCGAATCGTCTCTGCATAATGATTGTCAGCGGAATGAACCACGGAGCGACGGGACGTTACCCACCCTAATCAACGGGTTCGACGAGCTGGCAATTTCACTTCCCTTTTTTGCCACCGCCGCCTCCAAATCTCTGATCTCCTCATTGAGGAGTTTTCTGGCCTGCACCGTCTCGTCATCGTCGTCCTCATCCTCCTCTTCGCTCTCATCTTCTTCATCCTCCTCTTCCTCTTCGTCATCCCCTTCTGCCTCCTCGTCACCTAATGCGAGATCCAGCTCTGCCGCCAACTCCTCATCGATATCCCCTTCACCCTCTTCTCCTTCCTGGCCTTCCTCACCCTCGTCCTCGCCTTCACCCTCGCCAGGACCGGGCGTAGGCGCTTCGGCGTCGGAGCCCAGGAATGGCGTGGCCATGTCTACTGGTTCCTCTCGTTCGATAAACTCGGAGTCGGATAGGTCGGGGTTGACGTTCTCGAGTACCTCTGCTTGGGCATAAGCATGGGCTCAAATGAATTGAGAGTTGACTGACCATATTTGACTTCTCCTGCGAGCGCGTCTTCTTCCAGCAATCGCTCTACCTCTTGTTCGACGGTTTCAATTGTCTGCACAATTCGCACGTATCAAGACCCGGCAGCACAGCTTATCCTAGGTTCGAACGCACGTACTCTTCGATTGACCCTCTTACGGAATCTGCGTTTCCGGACATGGTGCAGAGGAGGAGTGATGCCATGGGGCCATATGAACTCGTCTATGTTGAAGCTCTTCTGGTTTGTGAGAGCGTCTTCATTCTCAATACGATCCTGCACTACGAGCATCTGCAAGATCACTTCCGTTAGTATCCGCATGGTTCCAGCACGGGTAATTCACAACCTGACATATATCTGCCACTTTGAACATCTGTTTGTTGTCCAGTGTCTTCTGCGCCTCGACGATGCATGGAAGGTCAACTAGTTTGGCCGAGTACGTGTTGGTGCCAATATGGAACACAGCACGTCGAGAGTCTATATAACATAAGAAATGTTATGCCTTTACTCTGAATGACGAGACCTCACCGTCATGGCCCGCTCACCTTTAAACTTGAACCAGACATCATTGCCCACATCCCGATTAGCAATTGCCTTCTTCAGCCTCTCGCAATCTTCGCCCGGGGGCACCCGTAAAACGAACTGCTCCTCGAACACCAGATCCTCGTCGTCCGAATCCAGCTCCCTATCATATGGGCCCAGGAACGACATACCAGGAGCCTGCGCTGCGGCCTTCTCGCTCAGCTTCAGCTTCAGCTTCGGTTGAGGGCGCGACCTCGCAGCCGCGGAGCGTGTCGTCCGACCCTCTGCGTTGTCAAACGCGGTGTATACGGGCGGAGTGCTCAGTCGGGAGGAGGTGCGCACGGTGCGGCCGCTGCGGGTCTGGTGCACGGGCTGAATGTCAGAGGGGGTCGCGCCATTGGTACCGGAAGGTCCAGCGACTTGTTCTTCGACGTCGTCCACAACAATAAGGTCTTCGTCCATGTTGGAATGAACTCGAGGAGTACGTGGAGGAGCTGAAGGACAACTTGAAGACTGCACTTATCACGTGCTACCGATCTGTCCAGAGGAGTAAGCGCCATAGGCGCTCGCTGCTGCACCATGTCCCACACCGCGTCGCAGGTCGTGCTGCACATATGGCCGAGTCAGGATTCTGCACTTTCATTTGACCCATCATGCGTGGCGGCCCTTCTTTATCTCCAACTCGCGATACCCGGACTCTTCGCCTTGCAGTATTGCACGAACCCCGACCTCTCGCCCAGTGGTAGGTTGGTGTTATGCCCTACGAACTTCATTGACGTCTAAATCTTCCGTGTAACATCCTGCCGTGTGATGCCATGTTTTCTACCTTTGGATCCATAGGGCAGCTGCCGTTCCTGACGCACGGCATGCACAATGCTTCGACACTCCCGGCTATCATTAAATATGTGAACCATCTCGAGGGTGCACGCGACCTCGATGAGTCCCTGGACTCGTTGGAGAAGGCACAAAATACTGCACGGCTCGCTCACGTACAGTCTGAGTATGGTGATCTAGTGGTGAGCAATGCGGATTCGTCCAAAAGGCCAAATGCACCGACAAAAATTTGTGCCCCATAGGCGCACATGATGTATTCGCTCAATGCCAACTGGTGGAAAACCACGCGTCCGGCTTTAGTGTCTATATTGCCCTTGCCGCAGCGATACTACGTTCCTGCGCGGCTTAGGAACTCTCACAAACCGAGATTAGAGTTCGCCGGGCTCTGGGACGTCCCAGGCATTGAATACGAAGATGAAGACGATGATCACTTCTCGTTCCGTAAAATCAAGAGGAGCAGAAGGGCCTCCACGCAAGAGAAGCTCAAACGGACTTTTGAGCGCGAGAAGGTCAGGGACAATACGATACGCACTGAGGGCAACAATTGACGATGTTCCAGGTGATTGAAAAAGCACGCGCGTTCTTTGGAATCTATGCGAAACTTCTGGCAGACCGCCCTCTGTTCCACCTTCATGACAGGTGTGTTCAGAAGGTGACTGCCTTGGAGATCGCTGATTCACCAATTCGCATAGGCCTACCTCACTTGACGTAGCGTTTGCTGCACACACTCACATTCTAACTAAGCTCCCTTTCGCGAATCCTCTCTTGCAAACAGTCCTTCGAGACTCCTACCCTAGTCTCGTCGTTCACGCTAACACGGTCCTGTCCATCGCGCTCCCTGAGGCACAGTCGCTTCCTCAAGCGGTTCAGCCTAGCATGGACATCTCATTCAGCTCTCTGATTCCCTGGCCCAGACATTCAGCGCCGAAACCGAAAACCTCGGCGAAAACTGACGAGGAGGTACGTCGGTTTCGGAACTTGCGGTGGGCTTTTATCGGACTCAGCGTGGCTGCGAGCGTGGTGTACCTGTACTCCATGGCGGGGCTTGTGACTGTTAAGGTGGTATATCCTGAGCGTGATGCTGAGGTAGGCGAGGCGGACGGGCTTCAGGATGTTGAAGATGAGGAACTGGAGGAGGAAACCGAGGAGGAGGGACCGGCAGATGTCGAGTAGCACCTGCACTCTGGAACTAACTAAGTTGAATATTTACGAGACCGGCTTATCGTTGACTTGGAACTGCGTTCAATTCTTCATCTGTCAGTGCTCTTTAAATATGTTCTCTGGCAAAAGATGGTATCCACGGCCATAGGACTTCGAAAGCACCGCATCCCGTCTGATCTGCGCAGTTAACCGAAGTGCCGCCTAGTTAGTACCACGGTGGGGGACCACGCGGGAATCCTGGGTGTTGTGGTTTTTTCCCCCTAAGGGTTTAGGGATCACGTGCAATATGACGCGTCCGCACTCGCAGTGTAGAGCCTTTTCTCCCCGACAAGCGACATGGCTCCCGTACGTCTTCGCCATCCAAAGGGTGTAACCACCATCCAAGTCGACCTGGACGCCTCCAACGTCCTTGGCCTCCAGCAAGCCATCTTCTCCGCGACCGAGATTCCGCCATCTCGCCAGGATCGTAAGTCGCGCAGCGTCGTCCGGTGCCCGCGATGATGCCTAGTGCTCTGTCTCTCGCTCGCAGTCAGGGCAGGGTACCCTCCACATCCCCTCACCCTCGTCCCGGAGCTCCCGCTGGAGAGCCTCGGGCTCAAGCCAGGCGAGCAGCTCATTGTCACGGAGAAGGCGGCGCCCACTCGTGCCCCTTCGCAGGCGTCAGCACCAGCACGCGTCCCCGAGGCGATGACTGGCCTGACGGCCTCGCAGGTGCGGGAGATTCCAGTTAGCCAGACGGATTCAAGTATGCCTGATACTGTCCCGGTGGAAGGTGGTTATTTGGTACACCGTGTGCGTTCCCTCTGGTTAGATAAGGTGTCCACAGCCACTCATTCTTGGTGTCGTAGATTGTGCCTGACGACAATTCATGTCTCTTCTCCTCGGTTGCCCTGGTCTTTGAGCAGAGCATCGACAAGGCGCCGCTCGTTCGACAAAGTAGGTGTACCCTGTTAAATGCGGAATTTCGCTGAAGCGGATATATGCGCCCCTCAGTTGTAGCCGATGCCATTCGGAAGGATCTTGAAACGTGGAATGAAGCTATCCTTGGGTAGGTCTGCCATTCGAGAAGCTCAGTCTGCTGCTGCGCATATACACGTTGATGACATCGACCGCCTTAGTCGCCCACGGGAAGAGTATATTTCCACCATTCTCAAGCCGACATCCTGGGGCGGGGCGATCGAATTGACAATCCTTGCATCACACTATTCGACTGAGATCTCCTCCGTGGACGTTGAAACCGGGCGTATCGACCATTTCACCCCTCCATCAAACCACGACTCGCGCAATAGGTGCATCCTAATCTATTCCGGCATCCACTACGATGCAGTCAGCATCGCGCCCATGCTCGACGTACCGGATGACTTTCACCAGACGATCATGCCTGTGGGTGATGCGGGCGATAACGACCCTGTGCTACTCGCTGCGAAGAAGCTCGCAGACAAGCTGAGGGCAAAGAGGGCATATACAAACACGGCGACGTTTGACCTTCGATGTCAGGTGGGTGCTGCCCCGAGTGCTTGTGGTGTCGACTGTGACGTGTCGCGCCTTTTCCGTCTGTAGATCTGTCAGAAAGGGTTGAAAGGAGAGAAGGAGGCGCGTGCACACGCGTCGGAAACGGGACATGTGCAGTTTGGAGAGTATTGATGTAAGATTGCGCTCGAGTCGTTGGCACTTTTGAGTTGTATCCGCCAACGCTACTAAGAACTATATCGCTATCTCACCTCTGTAAAGATGTTTTACAACTGGATTTATCCCCTCTTCCCTTGCAGCTGCCGAATGGCCAGTTGTTCGTAGGTTACTGGCCAGTCATCGCACTTATCATACTGTCGCGTAGAGCGCGCGAGTGCCGCGGCAGAACGCGTCGGTGGCGCGGGAATGCGGTTGCTCTGCGCGGTCACCCAACGACTCAATATTCTCGTCAGACCACTCGCCGCCCACTCATCTCTCTTCGCCCATCTTCGCTCATCCTTCGTCGTATCCGCCTTTAAACCACTCACGACGATGGCCCCAGAACGCGGGTCCTCCTCTAAACGCAAACACTCTCCGTCAGAACCCGCAGACGGGAGTGAGTCGTCGCAGCCGCGCGCGTCCAAGAAGGTAAAGGTAAAGGCAAAGGCAAAGGCGTCACCGGAGGATGTGACGTCTGCCAGCGCGCAGCCGACGAACAAGGTGCTGCCCGTGCACATCCAGTTCGCACCGCGCGTGCCCGGCACGCTCAGGATCGCGACGTGGAACATATGTGGGCTGGCCGCCGCCACGAAGAAGGTGCGTGCTCGTGAAACGACTTCTTGCGTACCGTGTGAGCCGGTCTGAACGGCGTGTGCTCCCAGGGTTTCAAGTATTATGTCGAAGCGGAAGACCCGGATATCCTCGTCCTGACGGAGACGAAGGTCAGTTCGTTGTATTAAGTGCCGTGCTGGAGGAGGTCTCACCACGGATAACAGGTCAACAACGATCCAGTGGACCCTGCGCTCACGAATCGTTTCCCATATCGTCACTGGTCGATAGCTGACAAGAAATCATACTGTAAGCTATGCAGATCATAAGTGCCGACAGAGACAGCGTAACGCAGGTATTCGCACGCAGCTGGTACGGCTATTCTTTCCAAGCACAAGCCATTGTCTATGTCTACCACGCTGCCTGGGCACCCGGACCCAAGCCTCGTCAAGGGGAGGATAGTCACGCTCGAGTTCGAGCATTGCTATGTTATCGGGACATATGTTGTGAATGCCGGGGCAGATCTGAAGGTACTCGTCGTATGCTGCCGGTGCCGGGCTTCTAACACCAACTTTGCAGACTCTGGACGCGAAAAAAGAGTGGAATGTACATTTTGAGGCATATATCCACGATCTCGACAAGAAGAAACCAGTGATTTGGACTGGCGATCTGAACGTCGCTCCTGCAGAGATGGGTACATATTACTTCCCAGTACGGCTCACCAGCCGCTCAACTCATATGCGTCCTGCAGACCTTGCAAATGCAAAGAGGAATTGGAACAAGACTGCCGGATATACCGAAGCTGAAACGACAGCATTTGCGCACATCCTGGACCCAGGCACAGACTCGGACGAAGGCAAATTTGTCGACGTCTGGAGGCGATTCCATCCCGAGGATCGACATTACACATACTTCTCGTACCGTTTCAATTGCAGGGCCAAAGGCATTGGATGGAGGATTGACATGTGTAAGTCGTGTTCTGGTTCAGCCAGTTGCTGCGGCTGATCACTTCACGCTCCTATCTGGTGACCACTGCGGCGCGGCCTCGCGTTGGCGTCATCGATGTGCTGCTGTGCAGTTGTGCTGAGCGAGCGCATGGTAGATCGCGTCAGGCTGTGCGAGATCAGGAGCGACATCTACGGGGCGTCTGACCACTGCCCTGTTGTGCTAGAGATAGAAGGCGAGCTGTAGTGTGGGAGATGTAAGTAATAGCATGAGTAACGGGGAGCCAATCGTCCGCTTTGCTTCCACCTCGGGCTTATTTCGGGAAGAAGTTCTCGCGAGCTCATGTTGCTAATTTTGTGCTCGAGGATACGGTAGAAAAGAAGGCGCGAAGTGACGTTGCGCAGCAGGTGTCTGCTTGCTTCGTGGTCGGGGAGATGGCAGAAACGAGGGTGGGTTCTTCCGTTACCTGCGCGCGGCACATATGCGGACCGGGGTTGTGTGTGATTGAGTTGGAGTCGCCGTGGGCATCCCACGTCTTGGCATTGCGCCTGCACTATAGTATAGCATCTGTATTACATCTGAATATTGGTCGAAGACGCCTGCACGGCGTAGCCTGGCTGATCATCATCAAGACTCGTCTGCCCGAATTGGAGCTTGTGAGAGCGCTGAAGCTGCCAGCGGACGCCGGTACTTGAGCAATGGGTGGGGCGTCGGATAGCAGAGGTGATACGGTTGTCGCGAAGAGGAGAAATATGGTTACCGCGAAGAGCAGAAAGATGTGAGTTATGTGGAGTCGGAAACGGGAAATTGGCGAGGAACCTCCCACATTTGGTCGGTCAGTCGGAATGGTTCGCACGGGAAATGTTTTGAGCCAGCGTCTGAGGCCCAACACTGCTTCTGTCCGTCGTCCTGCAACAACTGCGGAGCCTCTCCCGTTCTTTAGACCTTCTCCTCTCTCCGTCTGATACCCGTCTTCCCCACCTTAATTATTCACAGACCACAGAAGGTTGGACATGGCCCAGCACCAACCCTTCGACGGTGCTCAGCACGCGTTGCATCTCAACCTCAACCTCAAAGAGGCAGACGCCTATGACACTGAGGAGCTCGGCCTGGCCCAGGACGCTCAGAACATAGTGCCCTCAATATGCGGTATGCCCCTCAAATACGTTTCGTGAGTCTTCATTTTCGCGTTCTGTTGCTCGACAAGTGCATGCGACCACCTCGTCGCGCGTGTTCGTCGCTGCACGTACCCTTCCTGGTTCGATTGCTGACTCTTCCGCCGGTTTTTGTAGGCTTGTGACTCTGGCAGTCCAAAACGCATCGTTGACACTCATAATGCACTACTCTCGCGTCTCCGCGGCACCGTCCCACACGTATTCTGCCGGCGCCGCCGTCCTCGTCACTGAGCTGCTCAAGGGCTTCATCTCCCTTGCCATCGCGTTTTCCCGCATAGAAAGCTGCTCGTCCAACGTCCCTGGCACGTCGTCATGGAACCCACGCGTGTTTCTCTACCGCTTCAGACGCCTCGGTAAAGAGGTGTTCCGATCGGACTGCTGGAAACTGTCCGTCCCCGCTATCCTATATGTCATTCAAAATAATCTGCAGTTCGTCGCGGTGTCCAACCTCGAGGCGGCGACTTTCCAGGTCAGCTACCAGATGAAGATCCTCACCACCGCGGCGTTTTCAGTCCTCCTGCTTCGCAAGAAACTTAACCCGACCAAATGGCTTGCCCTGTTCTTCCTCGCCATTGGTGTGGGTATCGTTCAGATTCAGAGCGGAACATCATCGTCGTCTGTTGTGGCGGCGCATGACATGAACCAATTCAAGGGCTTCATGGCGGTCGTGGCAGCGTGTTTCACGTCGGGGCTCGCGGGTGTCTACTTCGAGATGGTTCTGAAGAACTCGCAGGCCGACCTTTGGGTCCGCAACGTCCAGCTGTCGTTGTTCTCCCTTCTCCCCGCGCTACTTCCCATCGTGTTCTCGCAAACCGCATCGGCCACGCCGGGGTCTGGGGTTTTCAGCATGCGGCTGTTTGAGAACTTCGGTGTGTGGGCATGGGCAACTGTCTTGGTCCAGGTTCTCGGCGGATTGCTCACCGCCCTCGTAATCAAGTATGCGGACAACATTCTGAAGGGGTTCGCGACGAGTCTGAGCATCGTCATTTCCTTCCTTGCGTCCGTCGCACTCTTCAACTTCCAGATGACCATCACGTTCATACTCGGCTCGACTGTCGTCCTTGTCGCGACCTGGATGTACAATCAGCCGGAAAACGTTACAGACTGTAGCCCCTTCAAGGAATGCAAAGCATGGTGGTGGAAGGCTATGCCGAGTTTCCGCGCCTCCTCCGCAGTCGAGCTGTCAGGGGGCGCCCTTTCCCGGCGCGCGTCTATGTCCTCGCTATCCTCGCTCACCTCCTATTCCTCGGGGACGATGTCTTTTCCCGGTTCGCCCGTCGAGCGCGACGAACCCATTCTCTCACAGGAAAAGAAGCGCCCGGAGCATGCGGGCCGCGTCCAGCCGCTGCGCGCGATTCGTGTTGCTGCATCCCAGCTTGCCCAGTTCGTTGCGCCCCATCCCAACGCGATTCCCGCGCTCTCGTCCTCGACTTCGCTGGTCTTTACCGCCCAAGAGAACGTCGGCGCAGCGTACGTGTACCCGACCAGCGGCCACACGTTCGTGCAGCACGCACAGGGCTCCCTTTCCACCTCCGCGTCGTATCCGACGTCGCTCTCCCGTCCATCAAGCGCACTATCGACCTATCCCACGTCGCGCCCCGCTAGTGCAATGGGTGGCTCCGTGTCCTCATCTACGCTCGTCGAATCGGCGCAGGCGCCATGACAGACCGGGGTATTTTCCTGGATAGCGTCGCTTAATTTACCTCAGCCCGGGAAGCAAGGTGGAGAACTAGGAACGGACCCGTAGACGATTCAGACAGAAAGATCTAGGAAGCACAGACCACAAAGCAGCATCTTAACTCCAGTGCGGCACGGACCCCGGACTGTATCATTATTATACCATCTTTCGTTCACTCCTCCCGCCCATTACACGTACGTCTGCTTTGGACTTCATACGCCGTGTGTGGTGTACATTTTACAGATTCGTTTTACTTGTCTGGGTAGAGCCGCCAGGGCTTTGGTTGCTACCCTGGTTGTAATTTTCCTTCGGTCTTTGCTTCGAGTAGCATAGTACGTATGCGTACGCGTGTGTGGCGCCATAAGTGGTGGATGGAGTTCGACCTCACAGTTCAACGCTGGACCTTTCGTCATGGAACAATTCAATTGGAATGATGTGCGACGGAACCCGCGAGGGTCGATCCCACAATTTCTGATCCAATAAACAAGAGACGACGCCGCTTTCGCTGATATCACGAACCTGTTCGTGTAATCCCACCGCCATCCGTACTTAGGGTAGGCCGGGGTAACCAAAATGTACTGCTTCGCAAGTTCTAGATCTATGCGCATATATACGAGCCAACTATCCACCTGCTCCTAAGTCCTGGCCTGCAATCCCTTCTTGATAGCTGGATGCAGCGCAATATGTCAGTAATGTTCTGCATCGCACTATGAGGGTACGAGACTCACCTTCACAGGTATCCTTGGCATCGCCAAACAGCATTTTCGTGCCGGGCATGTAGAACATCGGGTTCGGAACATCCGCTGTAGGGCATAGGAATCGGCGCCGGTCGCGAATAGACGATAGGCAAAACGCCACTGACCGTATCCACTGGACATGCCTCTCTTCATGACTATGACCTGCTTGCTCTTCCACGCGTGCAGTACAGGCATGCCCGCAATTGCCGAGCCCGGCTGGAGCGCAATGGGGTTGACCGTGTCGTTCGCGCCAATGACGAGCGTCACGTCAGTGTCCGGAAAATCGTCATTAATCTCGTCCATCTCCAAGACGACTGTACGAATGGGTGAGACTATTTTCCATGTCAACGTGATGTCTGTTACTCACTATCATAGGGCACAGAAGCTTCGGCAAGAAGGACGTTGCATTGGCCGGGCATCCTAAATAAAAACATGAGTTACGCTTCACGCAAGAATCGACGGAAAAGCATACCGTCCAGCAACTGGATGGATGGCGAATCGAACCTTGATATCTTTAGAGCGCAAGTACGACACGATGTCGGAGATCGCATATTGTGCCTTTGCGACGGCCATTCCATAGCCCACGACCTGCAACAGGCATACGATTGGCATCATCCAGCCAAGCGCACGAAACGGAGTAAAGGGACGCACTAGGATAACACTGTCAGCGTTCGCTAAACTTTCGACAGTTTCATCTACGGTGGTCTTTGTTATTGATCCTTCAATCTTGTAGTCTGACTGCGCTAGCGAGGAGATGCCGCCGAACAAGACATTTGTTAATGTCCTATTCATCGCAACGCACTGGTAGCCGAGAACTCCGTGAGCCACGGTCTCGGACGACTACGCGGAATCCACACCATGATGTATGACAGAATTGAACCGCTAACGCCGATGAGAGAACCAATGGTCGTCAAAAGTGGGTTATCAAGCATGAATCCTATAAGACAATATCGATTTGTTATCAGGTTGGATGGATGAGGTGCGTACCTTCCGCGACAAGAGCGAAGCCAGAATATGCGTTCAAGACAGTGATAACAACCGCTGCACAGATACCTTCAGCAATCACATTCGCATGCACGGAGAACCAGACGCACGCATGTCTGCACCACCGATAGCGGCAGTGGTCGTAAAGCCTTTGATGAAACTCAAGACAGTATTTACACCGAGGAAGCCAGCTGCAACAACAGGTGCGTGGGGAGCCATGGATACGAATGCAGCCATAGACGCAATATTAGCTCCAAGGAGTGAACCATTGACCAGATTCCTTCCAGGAAGAACAAATGGTCGAGAGCTGACACGGCCCGCCAATTTCAGGAAAGCAACAATGGAGCCAGTGAACGTGATACCACCTAGTGATCGATTATTTATCACGATTCATTCAGTTGAAAGGACTGCCACAAACCGATGAGGACCCCAAGGTAGGCGGTGACTAGATGTAAAGTAGAGGCATGATCAACGTTCGCGAGAACACTTCCAATACTCGTAAGCACTGCGGCAAGACCAACCACCGAATGGAGCGCAGCCACCATCTGCGGCAATTCGATGGCAGTGATCCGTCTACCGATGATAGTCCCAATGGTCCCACCAATGGCGGATACGGCAGCGAATTGAGCCAGAACTTCCGGAGAAAAGCCAACAGCCGCCAATGAAGCTAAGATACCCGAGCTGACGCCCAGAATGCCGAGAATATTGCCTTGACGAGCGGTGGTCTGTGAAGCAAGTCCAGAGATGGAGCCTACGAAGGTAGAGAAATTGATCATGAACAGCAAGCATCCTCGAACAAGAGGGAAACGTACCGATACACAGAAGACTGCTCGTGAGATAACCGGCTTGCACAAGGCCTGACATACCGGTACTTGCAGCAGCCAAGAAACCTCCAGTAAACACAACAGCTGGAATGCCATACAGCCACGCATATTCCGGAGGATCAGTTGCACCTAGGAAACCTCATAAGGTCGCGGCGAGGTGAACAAACGTAAAACAAAATCTCACGCTTGAACATGTCCAACATGCGCTTGGTAATTACGAAGCCGCCAGAGACATTGATACTAGCGAGAAGAACCGACAGGGCACCCAGAGCTTGAGGAATAGTTCCTGGCAGATAGCCACCTCCCATGACGAAAAGACCACCTATACCGACCATACCTGCACCATACGAATATCAGGAAGGATATGCGGCTGTTGTGATGCAGAGACAGACCAGAGATTGCATTGGTGACAGACATCAGAGGAGAGTGCAATGCTGGCGCAACACCCCAAACGACTCGGTATCCAATCAGTCCAGCCAGACCAAATGTGAAGAAATTGCTCATGAACACCGGCCCCGCAATTTTACCCAATGCAACAACTGTTCCCATTCCGGTCGTGATAGTCGCAACTTCTCGAGTTGCCTTCTGCCAAGGGGTAATAGCCTTAGCTTCCTCTACTTCCGCTTTCGTCGGTGTTGGCGGTGCCACAACCGGCGGAGGAGCAGGTCGAGGGGCTGGTGGTAACAACTGGCCATTATGTACGACAAGTGCACCACGAACCACTTCATCCTCCAGGTTAACAGCGAACCTGCCGCTATCACCTATTGAAAGAAGGAATTTCGTGATATTGTTCGAGTACAGCGTAGACGACTGAGTAGGCAGACGTGAAGGCAGATCCGTGTAACCTGTAAGTGTAGTGCATTGAGAGAGTGGACGAGATCCGGAACTAGTGTGTATTCACCAATAATTGTGACACCATTATGCACGTACAGTTCTCCTGGTTTGGTCAGTGCGCAGTTGCCTCCGGTCTCGGCAGCCAGATCTACTACCACAGAACCTTGCTTCATAGCAGAAACCATCTACAATACAGATATAAGCATCATAAAATGAAGATTTTCACCGACCTTACCTCTTGAGTGATCAGTTTCGGAGCAGGTATACCAGGAATGAGTGCCTGGAGGTGGAGGGTGGATAAGATATACTGGTATGTAGATCAATGAATATATGCCCACAGTAGTGACGACGATGTCTACGTCTTTGCATTGTTCCAGGAAGAGTGCCATCTCAGCGTCGATGAATTCCTTTGACATCTCTCTGGCATATCCTCCTCCGCCCTCTCCTGATTCTTTAATGGCCACTTCCAGGAACTCAGCACCAAGAGACTGTACCTGTTCCCGCGCTGCAGCTCGGGTGTCAAAGCCTCGCACAATAGCACCCATACGTCTGGCCTTGAATGGGGTCAAAAAGGCGATCAGTTACACAGATCGAACCTTACCGTTGCAATAGCACTCAACCCGGCCACTCCAGCGCCGATTACGAGTACCTTACAAGGTGGGATCTAAGATGGAAATGTTAAAAAGATAAGAGATATGGTACAAAGCAATGTGTCCATCACCTTGCTTTCCAATTGACGGATATCAGTACCAAATCATGACTATGCGAAGGAACACGCACCCAGCCGCGGTGACTTGACCTGTCAGGAATCGTCCAAAGTGATTGGCTGCCTCCAACACCGCCTTGTAACCCGCTATATTAGCCATAGAACTGTTGAACATACATAGTGAGTATCTTGACAGTGACAGCAAGATATTGTATACCTGAGAGCATCGAAAACTTGAGCACGAGATATCCGGGGTATCATTTCCATAGCGAACGCATTAGCTTTCCGGGCAGCCAATGCATCGACGATGGGCTTATTCTGCCCAGGGTATAAGAATGAGATGACGGTGCCGCCTTCCTTGACCTGTTCAGCTTCTTGACCGAGCACTGGTGGTCTGACCTTCAGTAATATATCCGATGTTTTAAGAACATGTTCCCTGTCCACAATCGTCGCTCCTGCAGCCCTGTATTGCTCATCCAAAAATTGCGCCCTCGAACCAGCTGACTTCTCCACCAAAACTTGAGAGAATCCCTTCTTAAGAAGGAGGGCTGCATTCTGCGGCGTAAGGGCTACCCGGTGTTCATTTGGGTAAACCTCGAGTGGTACTCCAACGGTCAGTTCCGAGTACGGTATACCTACTGGAATATGAGGGAGTTAGGTAACGCGGCCATACAATCACCGATAACTGAGTGGAGACAGACCGGTTGTTTCCTGCTTCGCAGCATTAACGCCCTCTGTGGTAACTCGGGGTCGCTGTGCATTCCAAACACATGCCGTTGCATGATAGTGACGAAGTGAGCACGAGACTGCCACATAGTTTGAGTTATAATATTAGCATTCCTCGAACCAAGCAGTTGATGACCCTTCACCTCGCCACAAGCGCCCGTTAGTAGATCGCCCAGTGTTGAGCACACTCCTCGAGCAACGCAGAGCAATCTTGGAGCTCATCGTCGTGGACGACGAGACCAACAAAGATGTGGCACTTCAGAGACCTTTACTATAGTAGCAACCGCGTTGAGTCAGCCCTTGTGAATTTTCGGTTCGTCGACGAGTCACCTGTTCTCGGCGTCACACACGTCGTACGTCTTTTGACCACCTACGGTGTTTTTTCTCATCCGAATCTCCCATCGTCTGGCGGCCGAAGAAGTTGAGCGCCGAATGCTTCATAAGTAAGGGTGTAAGCATGGACAATTTCAGGCTGTCTATGTTGTTTTTACAATTACCTGCAAATCTCGGAGATGTATGAGATCGATGAGATTAGATTGGAGCTGTAACTAAAAAGTTGAGGGTACCGACTAGTGCGCGGGGAAATAGGTAGGTGTAAATTACATAGGCTAATTAGCAGGTGTAAATTACGGTTAATTTACTGTAAATTTCAAACGGGCCTGTGACACAGGGTAAAATAGGGTAAAATAGACTGACACTGTATGGGTTGCCCTGACTGTATGAACGGGCTATACAGTCAGAAAACAGACAGAACCGAGGTGTACAAGAGAGAATTAATGACGATAAATAAGGCGACAAATCTCACCTGTCCAAATTGGGGAAGTGCATGAGGGCATGCCTCGAAGACATCATAGTTTACAGCGATAGATAGAAGAAGCCATGGATACATCAAGGATACATCAACCCCCACTAGAAAGTGCAAAGCAATGTTTAGGTGGCCTCAGTGAACATCTTTTTGCTATTTAACACCGTAATTTATGCTACTTTACCGGCTAATTAGCGTCAAGTAGCCCAGGTGTAATTTACAGTAATTTACGTAGGTAAAATAGAGGCGTTGCACTGAGCCTGGGTAATTTACCCGTCAAATAGACTGTCAGACCTATTTCCCCGCGCACTAGTACCGACCCGACTGGTTCACGAAGAACATAGGGATATACCACATACACACTAGCTACGCAGTAGGCCTCAATTGTCTTTACTTCTTATTCATCGCCTGTTCAAGTTGGACGAGATCTCGGACAGCACCATCGCCATCAGCGAGAGGCGCCTGTGGGACAGCCCACCATACTTAGCTATACAAGTTGTCCACAGACCCTTCGTGCCGGCTATTCCTGTCTTCGTGTCGAGGAAGTCTGCACGAGATACTGCTGCTTGCAAGACTTGGGCCTCTTTCAGTAAAGCAAGGTCCGAGACAACCAGTTCCGACAGCTCAAACAATCTTGCTACGGTTGGCTGAACAACACGAAAGGTGAATAGCGAGTGATTTACATCGGAGTGATAAATCAGGAGCAACGCACGGGAGCGACGTTTGCCAGGCCAGTAATGGCTCCATGGCCGTTTGCAAAAGTTGAAGGGACGAGGAGTGTCGGGATTCTTCCGCAGGTAGGAGAAAGTGAAGAAAGGATCAGAGACAACACCGCAAATACGCGTCAGCTTTCCGACATTGCCACAGCTAGATAGATGTCCGATATCGCAATAACCCATCGAAGTTATATGCGTACGTGAGCTTCACGCCAGCAACATTGGGATAGTCTCCGGCCAACTCTATGATCAGATCGGAGTCCAAATCAATGCATCCACTCGCTCCAGGATCTGCAGATCGAGCGTCAATAATGAATTCGTCGAGGAATACGATCGGAAGGAGGAACAGGAACTCACAATTGTAGATCAGTACCGGAATCGGACTACTCTCTGATACATCTCTGCAAAACGCCTTCAAGGCCATTCTGTGTCCACCAGCCAGTACTCGAACAAAATAAACGCTTGCAATGACGATCGCATAGTGGGCACCAACACCAACCTTCGCAGACCGAATGAACAGGTCAATCGTTTCGCGGGTACTACCAACGCCCGTACCAGCTATTATTGGTACGTCGCCAAGGCCTGCATCAACAAAAGCCCCAACGAGCGGTCTGGATAACCGTTATCCATTCTGCATGCGTCAAGTGGTGGCCCTCTCCCATGCTTCCGGCGAGAAGTGGGTGAACACCGGCCTTCCCCAGCATGGCACAGCTTTCTCGAGCGACCTCAGATCTTGAACACAACACATCAGACGTAAATTTGGAGGACAGTCAAGAGATGACGTACTGAGATACTCGGATTCTGGTTTAAAAAGGGTAGAAATAGGGGCATAGACACCGGGTTTTAACGGACGGAGACCGATGCGGAAATAGCTGTGTTCTATCTTACCTCAAGTCTCCCTTGGGACTCGGGGATGAGGCGAATTCAGAACGAAGATTTGAGCGGTAAAGACTCATTGGTTGTTATGACTTTGTTAGAACTTTCGAGAGCTGGCACCTCGGTGAAAAAAATGCCCGAAAAGCATAGGCGTACCTCATTGGTTGCTCGATGCTGCCTCTCCTGGGATTTGCCCTCGTGAGCATCAATACGACAACATCTACAACGGGACGAGCATTCAATGTAGACCCTGTAGCCCAACGACGCCTGCTAGATAGATTTGTTGCTTCAGATTAGAACTCCTCCGAGGTCATCTCCGCTTTCTCTCCGCGCTCCGTTCAGTTGTTCTCAGAGCTTTGATTTCATCTCCTGGACGAATAACGTCATAAATGGCTGGACAATAAGGTATCAATAAGCCGAAAAGAATGGACGTCAGACGGTGGTGTAGAAGTGACGGATCACACACCTAACAAGATTTCAAAAACAGGACGCCAAAAGGTATTAAATGGCGTCAAGCACTGCACTCGATTACGACGAGGCGTCAAATGACTGCCTACTGCTGCTACCGGTCGGTTGAATATTCTGGATGTTTGATAAGGCGGAGAAGTCCAGCATCAAGTCCACATACATATGATTGTCCGATTACTCGCCGCACTGCCGTTATTTCAGCAGAAGAGTGGCGGCAGAGAAGATAACAATTCGGGCCGATAGCTGATAGACTGTAAGTTGACCACTGTTCTGCGCAGGCGATAGTTGTCAATCATCCCAGCACAAGGAGATATTCCTTGCCATGTAGTTTCTATTAGGAAGCGGTATATGTATGACAACTTATTGCACGGTGAGTACATGGCGATGAGAAAAAATTACTGGTGACATACCGATACAAATTAGTTGCTCTTGTCAATTCCCTTACCTTCAATGATTTCTAGTCGGTCCATCACTTCCCTCTCCCATTCTGCCCATCCATTGGCATCAATTTCTCCTACATCTTCCCTCGCCTTTGTGAAGACCTCGAACGGAACACATGGAAGATCGGTGTTTTCTGTGGGCTCCAGCGAGAACCGACCTTGCCGGGAGCGCGTAAGGGTGACAACATGGGCAGATGATTCCAAGGCATGCCCGAGGTCATGCACGATAGACCGCACGTATGTGCCGCCCGATACGCTCATCCGCAGGACAAATGCCGTCGGAGCCTCTGTTCCATTTTCTTCAGGCTCATCTTCAATGGTGGCATTCGTTTCGACGCCCTGGAGCGCTTTCTCCATCGCCTTCTTTTCCTCCTCCGAGAATTTCTTTTCTGGCCAGCGGAAATCATGCTTACTCCCTTTCCAGTCGACAAGCTCGAGAGAATGCACGGTAACCTTGCGTTGTTCTATAGGGCGTGGTAGAGGGATGCCCTTCCGTGCATATTCATACAGCGGTTTTCCGTCCATCTTCAGAGCAGAAAATCTACAGGAGACGACATGAGAAAATTTGGATTCAACAAGAGACTACGTACATTGGTGGCACCTGCGTAATCTCTCCTCTGAATTGATCTAAGGCGCCTTCGACCTTCTCGCGGGTAACGTGTCGCCATGGAGTGACGCGGACTTGCTTTCCTTCACTATCATATGTATCCGTCTCACACCCAAGAAGACAGGTCGTACGGTACTCCTAGACGCATATAGTGAATAAAGTTCTTGTACGGCGACTGTAATACCCTCACCTTAACACAGTCTAGAAATTCACTCAGCTTCTTCGTGCCCTTTCCTACTCCTACAACTGTTTACATCAAAGGTAAGATCGAGCTCTCAGACGGGTCGACCAGACAATATTTACCAAGAACTCCATCTGCCAGAGGATCCAGAGTGCCTCCTTGACCGATCTTGACCGGAAAACGGTCGTGCTTACCGCGTTTCGTTTTGCCTCTCGATCCATTGGCCTTCTTCAATTTGTCCCCTTCCACGAACAAGCGAGAAGTTCCGACCAGTTGCTTGATTTCTTCGACAACGGCCATAGACGTCAGTCCGGATGGCTTGATCACTCCAAAGAGCGCAGAGATGGGTAAGGTGGACGGCGCTTTGGGCATTGTTGGTTGGGCACTTCCGCAAGATAGAATGAACAACGAATTGTAGTTATATGAAGTCGACTTGGACTCAAATTCAGTCCGTGGTCTGATTCAACAAACAGATCGCCTAAAAACGCGTGCCATTCTCCATGACGTAATCGTTCTCTCGGCATATTCCCTACATTTTACTCCACAGAACTGCTCTTCAAGGCTCAACTGTACTGTCTCTCGCTCGATCAATCATCCAACCAGTTTTGCTATAGTACGCCCTCAATGAGCGCGGGAATTGGTGGAACAGGGAAGAACGTACGAATACACGATGATGAACTTTCGATCCGGCCACATCAATAGCTCCCACCTCTTCAGCGGTGAGATCAGGTAAGGTCTCAACTTCCAAATACTCCTTGATTCTCTCTTCCTTTGAACTTGTACTGCACGAAGTAGATCAGCATTATTTTACGACCGCCCGTGCAAATTTAGGCGAACCTGATGGCAGGATATCCCTTCGTCTTTAACCACAGCTGCAACACTTGTCCGTCAGAAATCGGTTTGCCGACGATCTTCGCGATCCTCTCTCCGACAGATGCCAAGATTGGGTCGACCGGACCGCCCTTGAAATGCACAATGGGTGTCAACCCCGCGTAAGAGCACAGGAGAATGTTGTGTTCCTTCATGTATTCTTCCACCGGTTGACTCGCCTTGAAGATGTATGGATGGTACTCAATCTGAGACAAGGTAACACTTGGTGTACCGCATGGTAAGTTCATTGGATTGTTGCTCACCTGGTTCACAGCAGGAACAACAGTTGCACCAACTGCAATCTCCTCAAAATCTTGGACACGGAAGTTTGACACGCCGATACTCCTAGCGAGGCCCTCCTTCTGCAGTTCCTCCACTTCTTTCCATACCGTGTTCAGCTTCCCCACGTGTGTCACAGGAGAATGTATGAGGAACAGGTCGACGTAGTCCAGCTGTAACTTTTTCAGGGACAGCACGAGCGTGTCGCGGACGGTTTGCTGCTCCGGGATTTTCCAGAGCTTTGTGGTCACGAAGAGAGAAGAACGAGGCTTTCCTGACGCAGCGATCCCTGCTCCGAGAGACTCTTCGTTATCGTACGCCTGGGCACCGTCAAGGTGGACGATGCCGGTCGTAATGGCGAGGATAACAGCTTTCTCTGCATCCTTGTTGTAAAACGCGGTGCCGGTTCCAAAGCCTAGCCATGGGATATTTCGGCCGTCGCGCATAGTAATTGTCAAAGAAGACATTCTTGTGCAATGGAGATGGTCGTTTCAACGGATTTCCAGCTCGTGATACTTGGGACCGGTCGTGAGTGCCCTTTTATATGGAGTCAGATCGATAGCGGTATCGGAGAAACCAATAATTGCCCATTGGAGGCTATTATAAATGAGCATTAATGTCGCTGACGCGCGGGGTCCGTGGAGAGAAAGAACATCCGGCTCTGAGAACTGAGACTAGTCCGATACTCCGAGTGGAGGTTGCAATTGTAAGCACCTCCGCCCACTGGCGAGGACAACCACGGTTCTCCGGATGCAAAGTCAGAGATTCTGCCCAGCATCGGACGTCCGAGTCAGACCTGTATCTCGCACCAATCGCGACAGCATACAACACTTCACGTGCAAGGCACCAGCAGTACATCTAGTACTACGAGCTATGACAATCTTACACCGACACCGCTAGGGAGCATCATATCAATCGAATTCTGTACGAGTGCCTTAATCGTCCCACCACGTAGACTGGTCACGACAGCAGAAGCAAAGAGAATATTAATGAATCGCGCACCAGACACATAGATCGGAGACGCACAAAGAAACGGTGATGAGCTTTCGAACCCGCTTCGTCTATCGCATCCACTTCTTCAGTCGTGAGCCTAGGCAAGGTCTGAACGGCCCAATACTCCTTGATTCGCTCCTCCTTCGTGCTTGTTCTGGGTCGTAGAACAGATGTTTGGTGAGATCAATATCTCGAAACAACAAACCCATCACGTACGTGATTGCGGGTATTCCCTTAGCTCGTAACCACAACTGCAATACTTGTCCATCGGTGGCCGTCTCTCTTGCCGTCAGCTCAACTCTTGCGCGGATAGGCTTCAATACTGGATCCAGCTGTCCATCCTTCACGCGCGTGATAGGTGATAGTCCTCCGAACGAGGTCGGAAGAATGTTCTGCTTCTTCATGTACTCGATAACAGGCTGGTCTGCCTTGAGCACATAAGGGTGATATTCAATCTTCGACCCAAGAGATCAGCTCATCAGCATTGCAGTTGTTTGATGTATGACGAACCTGATTAACTGCAGGAACAACGCTAGCACCCTTCGAGATCTCTTCAAAGTCTTGCACGCGAAAATTGGAGACTCCAATGCTCTTTGCTAGTCCCTCCTTCTGCAGTTCCTCGACTTGTTTCCACACCGAATTTAACTCACCCTCATGGTTTTTAGGCGAGTGGACAAGAAAGAGATCGACATAGTCTAGCTGCAGTTACAACGCGAGGGTATCGCGAACGGTCTGTCCGGCAGGTATCTTCCCGAGTTTGGTGGTCACAAAGAGCGAAGAGCGGGGCTTGCCTGAAACAGCGAGGCCAGCCCCGAGGGACTCCTCGTTGCGGTAAGACTGGGCACCATCTAGGTGGAGGATACCGTTGGAGATGGCAAGGGCGACAAGCTCCTCAGCATCTCTGCCGTTCAAGGCGGTCCCGGTCCCAAAGGCTAACCAAGGGATCGTATTGTTGTCATTCAGCGGGATATCAAGATTGAGAGAAGACATAGGGAATACCGGTGAAGTAGCGGGTGAAGTAAGGGAGTATTGCCGCAACAGAGTAAGCCCTGCCACGGCGCAGGTGATGACCGCTGTATACGCCCTCCAGGACCTCATCATGATAGTCCAGGACAAGAGCTAAAGATACCGACTTTGCGGAAGCCTGATACTGATAGCGAGCTCGCACTATTCCGCTGTCCCAGGATGCCGTGGATGAGCAGGTATCGCAACTTCCACAGACCGTGCTAGGCTCGTTAACCAGCCTCTAGTAGATAGGAAGAAGGAGTCGTTCCTCTATATAGATCGTGCGTTCAGTGAGATCTTGCAGTGTTCCACCTTTGGTCATATTACTCCATGTATCTATATGTCGCGGGGTGAATATGAATGGATACGGTGACGATGGTATCTCGTATAATTGCGCTATGTTCAAGTTGACGCCCGCATGCGCAGAGAGCCTGCCCTAAGGAGAGAAACTTTTATGGCCTTCGGTGCGCCTCAGCACTCATCTTTTAACAACTACACAGGCGCTAGTATACCACATGCTGAATTGTCCCTTTCAATGACGATTCTCCATCTCTTAGCAGCCTCAGAATCAAGGTTCGCTCTTTGGCCGGTCTTTCGGAGCCTCGTGGAACGAACGGTCACCTAGCGTTTCCGACATCTTACGTTGTACCTGCTCCTGATGTGAATATATAATTTGGCATGAAGTACAGAGCACTACAAAGAGTTTCAGCAACGGAGATTGCGAAATATCGGAACTCGAGCTTGACTTCTCGATGCTGGTGTCTCACCTCCACCGTGGTCTAATCCCAAAGGCAGTGTAGCTACTCTGCTTCAACCTTCGTGCCTCAGGATATCCATCAGCAAAAGTGCACAATTGTTACAACGGATTCTGACGGTTGTAGTATTCGCCCGCATGTGATAACAGGTTAGAATGTCATCGTAAGCCGTTAGAATAATGGGGCTGCGTTGCAACCTCTGTAATCCTTTCAAATCCGTTGCGATGCTCGGTAACGTAGATGACTGATTGCAATGCCATTACACTGCACTATAAACCTATGTAACAGATTACAGGAACATAGTGATTAATAGTGATTATATTGAAGGCAGAGACTCAAGACATATTCGACAAGGGAGCACAGAACAACGTCCACGGAACGACTACACTAGCCTGTTGAAAGTCATTTACCTGCCCGCGGACTCCAGCTCGTCCATACCGTTTCTTCGACTCCGAGATCCTTTGCATATCCCGCGTTATCCTCGTTCCGATATTCACTGCCCATTTTATGTTCTGTGGCCGCATAATACCGGCAGGAATATGAATAGGGCCTTGAGCAAACCAGCCCCTTCACGCGGTCTTGGGTCAAACTTGTGTACGTAGCAAAGTAGTCAAAGTCAAAGGCACACGGTGACGGCCCAGTCGGCTTGCGAAGCGACTCTTCCCAATTTGGAAGCTACACAACAGTGATGACGTAGTACATTTCTCTCCTCCCGGTCATATAAGAGGCGGTCGGTCTCTTCTGGTGTCCTTCGCTGCTTTGATTCCTCCTTGTATGTCGACGCATTCTTGGCGGCACAGCCGCTTTTCTGACGACAACAATGACAACGACGCCACAGAACCGCGCCTCGCCAACGTTAACACCGTGTCCACCGAGTTCTGTGCCCTTCTCATTCTACATATGTGCCCTTCCTCCAGGACGTGCCCTAAGAGCTTCTCGTCCATTTAGAGTGACACACTTGTGCCCTTCCACTGCTCACACACCTATCTGTACGACTGCAGTATGTGTTCTGTCTTGTCTTTGCTGTCATGAATTGGGAATAGGATCATGGTACATGCCGTATCGTGATGGATGGAGCTAGTGCTCTTGATGCATACACCCCACCAGATCGAGCCTGAGCAGGGGCATGTACTATTGAGATCCCTTGAACTGCCTAGGCTTCACACTTTGCGACCGTCCACAGTGCATATACCGAGTCAAGATTTGGACACCGGCCATACTGGCAACAGTGGGCTCGCGATGCCCAGCCAGTGAGTAATCATGCACTCTAGACGGTAACATAATTAATGCGCTCTCCCCGCAGGCCTGCCCACACTGGACCGGTTCATCTTCGCAAAGCTCGCGATGTTTCAACTGATATATTGAGCACGTATCATTGCCTGCATGACAACTTACCTGATAAATTCCTTTATTATAGACAGGTCTTTCGTGCAGATGGCAGCAGGAATGTGCGCTCAGACTGCCGCAATGACAGCAACGGTCTGGCAACTTTGAAAGAACGACACTACAGTCAGTAGGCCCCAGGTTCGTTGACCTCAATGTACACACCAAGTGTAGCACTATCTCACAGCATTCTGCACAGACTGCCTTTGCATTTCTGTACTCTTGCTACCCTCTCCTGGATGGTCTTGTTGGGCCTCGTTGTTGAGATTTAACTGCCTCTGTTCCTCGCTGCCGCTTCTCCTTGCTGTGGCGCTTTCTCAACCTTTGTGCTCTTTCGGACATCCAGCTCACCTCTTGATGGTCATCCTACTCTCGCGCCAGCTCGTGGTGTTCCGTTTTTGTGCCCTCTTTAGGTTTTGCACTGCTCTCCTGTTCTATTTGGCACTCATGCGGACTGTGGTGAACTCTCTGTATTCATAGTCACACCTGTTGTATGTTATGTTGTATTTGCCGCAATGATTACTATATTTCCTGTCCTGTGCTCTGTCCACCGGGAGTAAGTCTATTTATACAGCCATTATAAGTTGTCTCTGGCATTGCCACTGCTTACAATCCCATCAGGATGCCTTATAAACCTGGGAATCCATGGTAATGAGTCCCAAATATTCCAGGTATTCGGAATAGATTGTGTACATTGCGAATGGATTAACAAATATTTTGAGGCATTGGGAAATATTCAGAACCACCGTAGAGAAGTTACAATCCATTACAACTTTGCTCAATAATTTCGAGTGTTGTAACGGATTTCCTAGATTACGATGCTATGTAACCGATGGTAACAGAAGTGCACTTTTGCTGATGTCCGTGTCTGACCCCCGCCGCACACTCTTCACTCATATCCTTTATATAAAGACTTTGACTGGAGTTGAAGTACTGAGCACTGATCAGGTATCACTCACATCTCTTCAACCCACGGAAAGTTGAAACCCATCAAATTAAAACACAGTGCAAAGGAGGGCAGGAATTTCATTAAATATGCAGCACTCAATGCTCCCCGTGGGGAGCGGGGCATCATTTTGTGCAATCACTGTAGTAACCATAGATTCACCGTCGTGCTAGCAGCCTCGGTGTGGGTCACGGTATATTCAGCTGTCGGAGAAGAGTGCATCATGGCTGGCTGGTAAACTGGTTCAGACGGTGGTGTATACTTTTTTTGGTAGCGTTGCATTAGCGGCATACCGGTAAGCTAGAGAATAAGTCTCACATAGTATTGTTAGTCCGACACGGCAACCACAGCAGGTTCCGGGGTGTATGGCACAGCCGCGGTGTGCGCCATGACTATGAATTTGTTGTAATGTTCGCCAGTGTACGGGGTGTCGTATGTTACTATGGGAGTGAGTATCTGCGTGACAGTTCGGAGGGGGGTCACGATGAGCACCACAGCTGCTAAGGCGAGCGGGGTAATTCCACCACAAGCCCACCGATGATAGGCCCCAAGAGTAAAATGGATCGTGGTCTTGTGAGGCAACGAATAGGTTTGGGCAGCAGCGGAACTCGGTGCATCATTCAGAGTTTGAGTAGGGAAGCCTTCCCCAGGCGACCCCGCGGGTACTAGATAGAGACCCTCTCCACCAGCATAATCAGACTTGTCTAAAGCAAATTCACTCGACTTTCTGATCATGCACCTAAGTGCACCGACTTTCGCCAGCGACTAGCATCGCTGCTGCTATGTCCCACTTGACTTCCTAAGCGTAGATAAATGGTTATCGTAGACATTGGTCTGAGCAACGCTGCGCCCACTACGTCGGCGTATGCCCACGGAGCAGTAGCCGTACCAGCCAGGATGGTATGCAGATATCTAGAAGAGATAATTGTTTAGCCCAGGTAGAATCTATGAAAGATGGAGATATACACAGCATTATAAATGTCTGCATCGTAATAGCCAGCGACCCAGCTCGCCGATCCGATGATTGTCTATTGTGGGCGAACACAAGCTCTTTGAAGGCAAATGACTGGGAAGGCTCACAGAGGTATCTGATCATTCTGACAATAGCCACACACACTGATCAATGAGTAAAAGCTTGGACCACCTAGTGTAATATAGGTCTGCACGGCACTGACGAATCAGTCTGCGCAGGAAGGCGGACTGAGCACTGCAGCAACACGAGAATAATATTTCAGCGATAATGACCGCACTTACATCCATGGCAGAGGCAGCTACGAGACATGGGCTCTGGCTCAGCGAATCCGACATCTGCATCGACTCGGAGATCTGAGATGGAACGAGAAAGAATGCACCTCAGTATGGTGGCATTTAGGTGACGGTTCAATTTCTGACACTGACGTCAGCTTGTCAGTTCGGTTGATGTCACCTTGCTTGATCAGCATGGCAAAGACCCTTGTCACCGCCTCCAGAGCCGAGCTGGTGGCAGCTCACTGTCTCCTTCACGGATTCTACGTGGAGGTCATTGCACACTTGGGCATGGTGATTCACAGAGAAGTCTGCATTGGAAAGGACAAAACATCGGCAATGTAACACAATTTTGATGTGACTCATGATATACTCAGCACGAGCGTCGCCCCGAATACTTCCCATAAGCGACTACCAGCAGCTTGATGGCTTTGTCGAATCCTGAAAGTACCTGTGAGTTATCTTCCTGAAGTTAATTTTTGAACGGAACCGGCAGGCTGACGAACAATGCAGCTGCTGAGCAGATCTGTGCAATTTGGCAAGGTACCTCTTGCAAGTCCTCCGCAAGTCATCCATCGTGACTCGCATGCTGAATGCAGTGTCTGGCAAGATTTCGGATTCTGCAGAATGGCAAGTGCATCTGACATGCAGGAGCCGAGCATCTCCCCTCCCTTCTCGTGAGTTTGCTTTTGCATCGTCTCATGTATATTGCATGGCTGAAGTGCGCTCCAGATACATCTGTCTACACTCCTAATTCTCGGAGTCTGCGTGTAGAAGGGCTCTCAGTACTACATCCCCGAGCTCTGGAAAACTCGATATCCTCGTGTCCTGCGGGCATGTCTCGGATAGCAACATTGCGGTCAGCTCTCTCCAAGCTGAACTGAGCCTGCTGCATCCTCCCTGTCCTGTTTTTCCCGCCTCTGACACCTTGGACATGGCTTTATTGTGTACTCGGGAATATGGCTAGGAATGCCCTTTTTTCGACATCTGAAGAGTGCATTTCACTCCGCACTTCAAGTGGACTCCGCTCTCATTGTGGTTCCTCCACGAGAATTTTTGACGACTCACGAGCTCAGTCCATCCCTCCTCGTCTTGAGACCTGCACTGCCAGATTTCGACATCCGCTGAGTATGGGGCTATGCATGCTCATTGTATACCTCGGTGACTCTGTTTTCTTATATTGGGTGATGTAGATCTGCAGCTTCTTCATCCTGCTCTCTTCCTCATACCGGCTCCAAGGTTCGGCTGTCGGTGAGCAGGGCCTGCAATGCGGGTGCCTCTCCCATGGTTGATTCGATTTTTTCCCATCCTATGAGCAGCACATTGGTGCCTTGCATGCCCTTTCCTTTTGCATGCAAAGTCCAGATGTTGATATCGTATGAGTGAGGCCTGCGACAATGGATTCCCTCTGCCCCACAGGTTCTCGTAGTTCAGCATATGCACACTGTTGACTCGATTACGGATGTTATACATGATTCTGGGTCACTCCCGTGCTCCCTGCAATCCCGGTGAGCTGGACGCCCGCAGCCTGCCTTCCTGCGCGTCAAATTGAAGCCGACATCATGGCCAGTGGGCAGAACTCGCACCACTGGACCCCTTCATGCATTCAATACAACTTTTTGACGTCCGACGACAGCGCATTCGCACCTGGCTTGCGTTCGCCATGCGCCTCGGGCCATACTTGCAAATTGAAGATTTCAATGTCCGGTGAGCAAGCCTCGCGACCTCCTTTATCCCCACATTTGCTTATCTTACTCATGTAGAGCTGCCTCACCAGTGTCCTCGATCACATCCAGCAGTGGAGATGTCCGTGGCTCCGACATCCCTTGCTTGCGAGGAAGACCGGCCTTTGAAAATCAAGATCCTGGCGTCTCGCTCCCGTGAGCGAGCTTTGCGGAGATGGACTGCCTCCAGCACCTGACCATATTGTAGGTCCACTCAATGATCTGCAGGAGCTTGCTGAACTTCTCGCAGGATGGTGTCAAAGTGAGGCCAATCGGCCTAGAGCACCGCTTGCGTAGGGCATCAGGGTAACCTTGCGTATTCGTGGCTGGCCAATCGGCTGCTGAATCCTCGCGACTAGATTATCTCTGCTCATGCTTCTCCGAGTCCCAAGCCGATGCAGTTGCCCTACTCCCATGCGCTCTACATGATCATCATTACGCTCGCAATGATACTTTGGTTATACATCTTTCTCCGGCCTTCTATCCGGCCAAGCTTGCATCAAGGTATGTACTACGAACATACAAGCGCACATGCAGGTACGTCACGCAATGCACCACTCCTGTTACGCGGCAGCGAAACACGAGCGTCTAGTCTAGTCGTCACGAGACAAGGTCTTAGTCTAAGACACAAGTCCGTTCAAGTGACACTTCTGGCGATGTCCTCGCACTGAAGGTCGATCAGAGTTTGTTCTTATGACTCGTAGTAGCTGTCTGCTACTGACGGTCGATCTCAGTCAAAGGCAAGTGAAAAGCTGGTTTAATGGTAACCAGGTCGAGATGGGGATCCAGCTCGACAAGGTCGTTTACTTATACAAAAGGTATCCGCAGTACTACGCAGTAATGCGGGATCGTTCATTGGCTAGATAAGGTGAAACGATATCTGGGCAAGGTAACAGCGAGGAAGTAATATGTATGAGAAAGCTGAGTAAGGTCGTGAGAGATAATCAGTACTAATGGGGATAACGAGTCGTGTATCAGAACGAGGTAAAGATGAGGCGTACATGCACGTCTTGCATGCGCGATAAGAAGAAGGTCCGGAGTTGGATCCGGTGTAACCCTAGACTAGGGGTTCTGGACATCTGGGTAAAGAATCGGAGGTTGCGCTCCGATGAGTCACGTGTTGGATCACGTGGTCTGGTAACGTAAAGGGAACAAGGAAAAGAAAAAGAAAAGACGCGCCACAAGTGGGGAGCGTTGTAACATCAGCTCCCGTCTAACGTTTCTTGTCCCACAAGAAATATTGTGATCTTCATCGTCGTCGGGGGCAGTCGCGGACATAATGATCTCCTCCACATCTGTAGCATGTCCGCCGGCTGGTTCGTGATCCTTGTTCAGGGATACGTCCATCCCTGTAGGGATGACTGCGACGCGAAGAAGTGGATGCAGTCGAGAAAGATGGTTGGGATAACGGAGATCGTCCACTGGGTACGTGCGAACGAGGAGGGCGAGGTCGAACGGGAATTGGTTCTGGCGACGAGCGAGGAGTGGATGCGGGTATTCCATTAGTGGTGTATCCGAGGATGTGTCCGATGTCTTCGTCCCCATGCTCCCTCCAAATCTCCTGTGCTGTACGAGTGACCGTACTGCGCATCAATGACCAGACTTGGTCGACTCTGGTCCGGGCTCTACTCGTCCTTTCTTCTGCTGCGATGAGCTCTTGTCTGGCCGTCTGCATCCACTCGACCATTTCTAATGCTCGTTGCATGGAAACCACCGCTTGTCGATCTTGCGGGCGATTTCGTAAGGCGACAAGGATATCTGTGAAGTCGACAGGAACACGGATAGCCGAGACCAGACGTGTGGCAAATTCTTGTTCGTCCGATGCGTGACTGAGTTCGATAGAAGGTGAGGGCGACGAGGTGCGGATAAAGGGTGTCTGTGCTCGAGAGGGTACTCCATTGACAAGCGTAGGCGATGCGGGTATGCTCATAATTGTGGAGGCGACTTCAGCGAGTATATTGTGAACAAGGTCGTCTATAGCGGAAGTGGGCATTGATGATATGTCGTTTTCTCCTCCTTTTATACCTTTCGGTCGTTAAGGGGGTCGCGGTTATCTGTGATGTGAAATAGAATGTCGTGGATCCGGGTAATAATCAAATAGATGAAAATCCATTGGACGATAAAGAGTATTCCCACAGAGATAAGAGCTGCCTGATCAGTTCCAGGCATCGTTCTGATCACCCCAGCTGTTAGCGTGCGGGCTGTCTCGCGTGAAGAGTGTGTGTTCGACAAGTCATCTGATAAGGATTCGGTGGATGATCCAAAGAAAAGTGAGGGTTGTGCAGTGGAGGACAATTAGGAAGATGATGAGGAAAACCGTCGTGGTAGTCATTCCGGGTTTCTTCTCCTCTACTGGATTCCCCTGGTCCTTTTATATGCATCGAGGATTCGCTTGGCATTTTGTAAATTGTGGGTAGGTTCCCACGAGTTTTCTGCTGAAGAATATCCCTTCCACTTGACTAAGTACCTCAGATGACCTCGGTACGTCTTGTGATTCAGGATGGCTTCGACTTCGTACTCTTCTTCATTATCAACGACATCAGGTGGTGGGTTCACGTAATTCGGACCATGTATGTCATTTTCGCGATAAGGAGATAGAAGGGCGGCGTGGAATACGGAATGAACTCGCCAGGTCTTCGGGAGTTTGAGACGATAGTTGGCCGGTCCGATGACTTCGACAATTTCGAAGGGCCCCTCACGCTTTGGTGCTATCTTGCGCGAGGTGTAATTGACCTTTAGGTTCCTCGAGTCTAGCCAGACCTTCTGTCCTAGTGTAAACTTCGGCGATCCTTGTCTGACTCGGTCTGCCATCTGTTGTCGGGCTAACTCGTGCATGGCTAGTGCTTCTAGTCTTATCTTCTGCAACATGTCAAGCCTGGATTCAACCGATGGAATGTTCGTGGTCAGAAATACGGAAGGGAGTCCACGTGGTTCGTATCCCATCATGATGCGGAATGGGCTCATCTTCCGTGCTGAGTGTTCCCTTGTGTTATGACAAAATTCGAGGTCTGGCAGGCGGTCGGCCCATGTTTCAGGGTTGTTTCCGCAATAGAGTCGAAGATAGATTTCCAGCTCCTGGTTGACTCGCTCTGTTTCTCCGTCCGTCTGAGGGTGATAAGCTGTGCTCATTGATGATCTGATCTGGAGTAGTCGATTTAACTCTTGGAAGACCTTGGACGCGTATTGAGGTCCTCTATCCGAGATGATTCGGTCGGGTAATCCAAATCGCGAGTATACTTTGTCATGAAAAATCTTGGCTGTTCCTTCGGCTGTGATCGTTTTGAGGCAGGGCGTAAGAATCACCCCCTTCGTAAGGTCATGGTCTACTACGACCATAATTGAATCAAAACCATTGGAAACGGGGAGGTCGGTAATAAAATCAGTGGTGCAACAGGAAAATGGTAATGCGTGTGGGTCGGCGGGAATTGGTTCCAAAGGAATACGCGTTGGATGAGTATTCAGTTTCATTTGTTGACAGGCGGCACAGCCTTCAACATAATTGTAGACAAATGTATACATGCCGGGCCACCAGAATTCACGACGTAACAGTTCAAGAGTATTGAACTTTCCAGGGTGACCCATGGCAGGGGAGTCATGATGTAGTCGAACAAGGTCACGACGAAGAGTTTCGGATGGTGGAACATAGATCTTTCCCTTGTAGAGGATGACACCATCGCGAACTTCCCAGTCAGAAAGCGATGATTTCATGGGGAATGGCCCTTTGTGCGCAATCGCTTCGAGGGCTTCGTGAACAATGAGGTCTTTTGCTGTGTGATTCCTGATTTCGTCAAATAATGTTGGGGAAATGGATCGCACAAACAGTGCATTGGGTAAAAGAACGCGATCTTCATTGTCACTTTCACTGTCATCGAGTCCGTTACGACGAGATAGCGCATCAGATTGGATCATCTGAGTGCCGGGGACATGGATGAGGTGAAGATCAAATTGTGATAATTTGAGACTCCATCGTGCTTGTCGGCGGTTTAACTTCTGAGCTGTACGGAAGTACGTGAGGTTCTTGTGATCACTGCGAACTTCGACGGGATGGGGAGAGCCTTCAAGATAATGGCGCCATTCAGCGAGGGCTCGAATGATTCCGAGGAGTTCGCGGTCGTAGATTTCATAGTTCCGTTCAGCTGGATTGAGCGTCTGTGAAATGTAGGCACAAGGATGGAGGTCTCCATTGATGTCGGCTTGGCGTAAAACTGCACCCGTAGCAAACTTGGAAGCGTCAGATTCAACAATAAAGGGTTTTGCCTTGTCAGGCAGTAACAGTACTGGGGCGGTACTGAATCGTTGCTTTAATGTGTCGAAAGCTGTCTGACATTCTGTCGTCCATTCAAAAGGTGGAGATTCAGCGGCCGTGCGCGTAAGATTCGTCAATGGTTTGGCAATATCCGAGAAGTTGGCAATAAACTTCCGATAGAAGTTTCCAAACCCTAGGAAAGAGCGAACACCTTTTACAGTGCTTGGTTCAGGCCATTCTGCAATTCCTTTAAGTTTGATAGGGTCCATGCCAATGTAGTTTTCTCGAATGATCATGCCTAGGAATTCGACTTCTTTAACATCAAAGAAACACTTTTCCGGTTTAAGGAATAAGTCGTTGTCTTCGAGTCGTTGGAGTACGCGTCGGGTTCGAACGTGATGTTCTTTCAAATCGTTTGAGAAGATGAGGATATCATCCATGTAAATGACTATCCATCCCTCATCGATCATGTCCTTGAAGAGTGCGTTCATCATCATTTGGAAAGTCGCCGGGGAGTTGCAGAGTCCAAAGAACATGACCATAGGTTCAAAAAGTCCGCGATTTGTCTTAAATGCGCCCTTCCATTGGTCACCATCTTTGATTCTGACATTGTTATATCCGGAGCGTAAATCCATTTTCGTAAAGATCGATGCGCCTTTGAATTGATCCATAAGGTCAGAGATGAGCGGAAGAGGATAGGCGTTCTTCACCGTCCCTTCATTCAGGTATCGGTAATCCTGACAGGGACGTAGTGCTCCGTCTTTCTTTCCTACGAAGAAAAATGGTGAAGCTATGGGAGATTTCGACGGTCGGATGTATCCTTTTCGCAGATTTTCTTCCAGGAAGTCATCCATCGCTCCTTGTTCTTTGAGCGATAACGGATAGACTTTACAGTCGCGTGGAATAAAATCGGG